AGACTGCGATAACGTCTCTAGACTCAACATCCGGTGTTACCGTGACATGCACAAGTGTCGTCATCAGCAACTTCCATTCAGGGGTGTCCAGAACGTATGAATTCTTGCTCAGAAACAAGAAATTGCGAAAATTCTCCTTTGGTGTCAGTGCAAAAATTTTAACATGTTTTATACAATCTGTAAATTACAATATCTGATTCTATATTCTTTCGAGAAAAAAACAGCGTTTATTTCGTTCGATTATCACAGAAATAGCAGAAATAGGAGCAAAATTAGTAAGTGACTACAATTTTCACGAATCTCAAATAGCGGCCATTTAAAGAACTCCGTACCGTTGCCACAACCTAAGTTTAAAGGGCCGTAGGATAAAGGTTAAGTGGGGTCTTAAGAGTTGGCCAGATTCTACACAGTAAAATACCAACAGAAAATCCCTGCTGATGATTTTCCTCATTTTATGGTTAGTTTTTGAAACATTATAGGGGAGCTGGGATAGGACAGTCAGTATAGTGACTGGCTACAGGCTGGACAACCAAGGGGTCAGAGTTTTTCATGTCATCCAGACTGATTCTGGGGCCCACCAAACCTCCTATCCAGTGGGTACTGGGGGCTCTTTCCCTGGGGGTAAACCAGCCAGTGTGTGAAGCTGACCAATCACCTCCAACTAGCACAGAGGCCAAGAAAGCATGGATATATACATCTGTTCCCCCATATGCCTTGATGGCATAATGCTTAATTAATTAAGCACAGGGACAACTTACCTAACTTTGAAACATTATAACAAAGGCTGGTCCTAGACCCTATGGCACCCCAAGCAAGAAATATTTTAGATTCCATACTAATCAGTCAGATATAGTGTTCTGTTGTGTGCATGTGCAAAAGTGCTCTCTCTCTCTCTACAGGATGTCCCAGGAGGATTGTGCCAGACTTTGGGAGGGTGTTCCCTATGTTAAAGTATGCCGATATAACCCAAAACACCTATGTCCAAAGTTGAACGGTTACAGAGATAATGGCCAGAGAAGTGTGAAACTTTGACAGGTGTTACACACTTGTTGATTACCAAAACCATATTAAAACTGGCAGGAATATGTGGTTTCTGTAATGTTAATAATGTACATAACATCAAACTAACATGTGAGTGGCATGAAGCCATTAAATTGAACTACAAAAAAAATCGCATGCCATGTCATAGTTGTTGTTAGGGTTCCAAGCACTATACATGACACATGAATGGCAAGTACTGACGTAACATGGCTGACTGCGCATTCTGGTATGTGAGTGTATGCGGCTAGTGTGAGCCGTCATCACCACACTCAAGGACAAATATCCATAAGACTTGTCAGCTGACAGGTACAGTGAATGGACCCGCCAGAAGACCACACTTTTCTCGGGCCATTATCTCTGTAACCATTCAACTTTGGACATAGGTGTTTTGGGTTATATCGGCATACTTTAACATAAGGAACACCCTCCCAAAGTCTGGCACATTCCTCCTGGGACACCCTGTATATATATATCACAGTAAGTTTCATTTCAGTTTTCAGTCAGAGAAATTAAGTGCACTTCCATTACATTGTAGCTGGCCACATTAATGTATAAAATAGGACAAGTCTGATATGTATATGTGTAGAGTAATATTACTTTTCAAAAATCAGATTGTTATCCAGAATTTGGTCATACTGTTTCATAATTAAGAATTTTATGTTTACATGATTTTTACAGTTAATTGGTCAGAGTGTAAGTCAGCTGTTTCGCAAAGAAGTTTGTATTGCTGAATTACCAAGATTGGAGCCTCCACGGCGATATAAAACTCCAAGAGTGGATGAAACAGAAAGTGAATTGGGTATATGCAAACTTTTCAAAAATGGTGAAAGTGTATAATATAGCTCAGTTTATTGATTTTGTCTCTTTTTCTTTATGCAAAGTCATTAATAAGATTGAACTTTGTATTCATATTTTATACTCATCAACACATCAATAAGCAGTCAGATTATTATAAAACCAACACAATTTAACGAAGGATTATGGATTGGAAGCTTTTGGGAAAGTAGTAGATAATCTTTTGACTTCAAATTTGGAGAGTTTTGTGAACACACTTTTTTGTGAGGGCTTGTGGATATTTAAGGATCACCTTTTGGAGAATTAGCACACAATTGAGAGAGATTCTTTTGAAAAGAGAATGATTTATTTTGATTACACAACATTTTATATTGTTTTCTGTTTCCTTATTTTTGATGAAATCAGTCTCAAGATTTTGACGGCTTTACATTTTCAGCCCCCCTCCCCGGTGATTATGAGAGAGTGGTTTTTGGTCTGTGTGGATGGATATGCACCTCTGCTAATGCCCAAGTGGTTGGGCAGATTTTGTTCGGTAGTAAAGAGTTTATCCATCCTAGATTGTTGCCTCATGAATCTGAATATTCACACACCTTCAGATTGGCAAGAAAACACAAAATGGCGATTTTCTGTGAAATGGCGCTAACTGTTTTGATTAAATTTTGATAATTTATGGAGATTATATCCCTAAATAAAAATGCATAGGTAGTATCTTCAGGAAAGTAATGATACTTGTGTTAGGAGCCCAAACACAAAATGTCAGTTTTCCCAGCAATGCGTTTACCAGTCAGACAGGTTAAATTGATGTTTGGTATTCAGCAGTTGGTGATGGCTTACTGTGTAACAATCAGTTTCATCTCCAAAGTAATGTAGTGAAGGTCAATTACATAGAGAAAGTATATATCATCTCTGTGGTATTTTTTTGTTTTTTGTTTTGCATATGCAAATTCCGTCTGCAAGGCCTGACATAATGTGTGAGCAAATTAATTTTGAAACCAGAGAATCATAATGTGTGAGCAAATTAATTTTGAAACCAGAGAATCATTTTGATTACTCATGCATGTGAATCAGTCTTACATATATAACTCATCAAGGTGTTTGTGTATATGTTGTAAGTTTTGATGTTGTCTGATCTTTTACAACTCTTACTTAAGGTAAGTTTTGAAGTTATTTGTGATACATTGTTTGAGGCTATTTGTTTAGACTTTATCCATCATCTTAGTATTTAATATAAAGTCCACAGTATTTTAGAAATGCGTTGTATTTACATCTTATAATGGGGAGAATATGGATTCCTAATTTTTTGTGTCACTCTTACATTCAGGGTACTAGAGCAGCACTACAAAGGGACCCGGTAGGATAGCAGTATCTTCATGTCTTCTCCATCTGAAGACGGAAATAAAGCCAATATCTGAAATACTAAAGTTTTTTTATTACAAACTAAGGTAGTGGAAGCCCAAATAAATCGTCTTAAATGTTATCTTACTTAGAACACTAACTTATGTACTGAAATAGGTAGGTGGGTAGTAGTCTTCAATTTTCAAGATCAAATTGACAAAGGAAAGCCCTGAACTCATTTTGAATATTAATTTTTCAGCTTAAGAGTTTGAGAATTTTTGGGTTGGTGCTTGTACTCTGGGCAGTAGCACACAAACCATCCAGTGAGAATTTTCATGGTTGGCAGTGCTAGCATGAATGTGTTCCCTCTTTCCACCCACATTGCATATTCCCGTTTCTGTGCATGGCACTGATGTCTGATATCACAAAAATCAAGTAATACACTTTAGTATATTGTGAGAGAGTGGTCAGTCTTATAAATTGTGATTGGAGTGATAAATGTGGTTTAGTAGCGAAAATTGTCATGCTTGTCTTGAATATCAAAAATTTTCCATATTCATGTCTTCAGTTGAAAAATATCATTCCTGTACATGCCTAGAAATAGGATGTGACATTGCCATGTTCTGATTTACAGCAAAGTTTATGTTCATGTGTTCTCAAGTTTCTTTTTTTAATTGAAGATGTGGCGTAGTTCTTCTTATCATCATGACTGAGAGATAAATGTAAGTTATATATATGTATCTACATTTGGCAGAAATATAGTTGCACTGCTGATTGAGGGAGCTTCAGTTGCTCTGATATTTTGTTAGTTGATATGAAAGAAAATTGCACATCTGTATAATATGAGAAGATATTGTTTCACGTGCAGTGCTTGCAATACCAGGCACTTCCAAGTATAAGGCCAGATTTTACCTGACCATTATTTATTTATCGTGGTAGCATAGTTGGTTGAGGCACTGTGCTACAAGTCGGAAGGTTGCGGGTTCGATTCCCGATGAGGTCATTCAATTTTTTTCAATTTACCTAATCCTTCCAGCAACAATGTCGCCCTAGGGTGAACTCAGCCTCTAACAGAAATGAGGGGGTAAAGGACAGTGGGTGCGTAAAACTGACAACCTTGCTGCCATCTGTGAACCAGTTTTCTAGATGTCAGAACCTCAACCTCTCACACCCCTATGGGCCTTCATGGCTTGTTCCAGGACAGCTGTACCTTTATTAATTTTGTTGAAACAGAAGTAATTGTACTTGGTTAATTATTTTAACTTTTAAAAGCATTTCAAATTGCCGTTTTTAAATAGACCTGACAGCTTTGATCAAATGTTGCAGCAGTGTCAATGTGATAATGAATTCATGGAGCTATAAAACCTGCTGTCCTATCCTTTAATTTCAGTAATCCATGAGAGAGCTGGTAGAATTGTATACCAACTAACTGAATAGGTCATACAATTATTGCATCTTACAAATTCTGTAGTACATTTTTAACAAGGCCACCTAACTGCCTTTTAAATTTCTGGACTAATAGTGGCAGTTCAGTGACATATACATATGCAGGTTTGGGATAGTAATTTACTTCTAACCATTTTCTTGTTTAATAATAGCCATCAAGTACTTTGGAACATTCATCATTGCATGGAGCACTGATGTAACGTACAGAGAACTGTATATTTCCTCAAGTCAGACCCTGTAATGTGAGACAAATTATCACAGTTAATAAATGTGTATGAAATTACACTGAATGTTGAAATGTCATAAGTAATGCATTTAATAACTGACATGCTGCAAACTGATGACAAATAATGCCAGCAAGCTTGAGTAAGCGGTATTTCACAGGCACCTTCTGTTTCCTTTAGGAGAGATGTTCCACATGTCAGAAATGATATGGTTCCTTCAGTATACATTGAGTGTATACTGCCTACAGTGGAGATTCATATTAATGAATTTTGTGATGATTATGAAATTGAAGTAGTATTATTTTTTTATTGCTAGTGGGGTGGGACTAAGTTCCTTGTACTGCAGCCACTTCTGGCCTATTGTACCAGCCCCAGATGATAAGTGAGGGTGTTTGTGGAGCAATTAGTGGAATAAAGATTGGCAGGGGAAACCGAAGTACTCTAAGAAAACCTGCCCCAGCGCCACTTTGTCCACCACAAATCCCACTTGATCAGACCCGGGATCAAACCCGGGCCGCCACTGTGGGAAGCCAGGGACTAACCGCTTGAGCTGTGGCGCGGCCCAACTGAAGTAGTATATATGAATACTTGGTATGTTGTGTGGAGTGGTACCCCCAGCCCCAAAATCCTGGGCTGGACTGAACAAGATTGCCTGTACAATATCCCATATGCAGTAGGCATGAAGAAAGAATAATTTTTTTTCAATTATACTGGTATAAGAAAGAGTATGTCAATAGAGCACTGTAATAATAGACACTTGAATTTCTTTTATTTTCTTCTGCTGCCTCCTCTCCAAGAGAAAGGAATTGTGTTCAACATTATTTACATTTGTTACAGCAGTAAAATTATTTCCAAAATGATATCCACAGCCCATGCAATTTAATTATTGGTAGTTGATGATGTTTTTATTTTGTGTAGGTCAAATTCTGTTTATAATTGTGTTGAAATATTTGCACTGAGCTTCAACTACATGTGATAAATTAGGGCACAACTTATTTTCCTGGTAACATACTTAGTCATATTGAAGACATGATTGCAAGATATAATTTGCATTCCAGTTTTAGTACCTCTGCATATTAGAGTCACTTTTGTACTTTCTTCACTTGAGGTGTAATGTGGCTGATATGTGAAACTAACCACTCACATCAGGCGGTTAGTCACTGGCTTCCCACCGCGGCGGCTGGGGTTCAGTCCCAGGGTCTGGTCAAGTGGGATGTGCTAGAAATGCCAAAGCTACTTGGGGATACATGCAGCTGCTCTGACAAACCCACAGTTTTTCCTCAGATTACACTATAAAATCACAGATACAGATGATGATAAAGCCAGTTCTTTACTCTGAATGTGACATACCGCACTTAATGCCACCTACTGAACAAAATACCATAATAAATTGTATACAATAGTAAAATAAATCTGAAAGAATATGTTGAACACACTAACCCAGAGGAAGACAGAAGTCCTCTAAAATAGAAAGCTTCTAGATTTCGCTTTTCTAATATTTAGAGGGGTAGAAACCATGCGATGGTGGAAGTTATGAAAGCAAATATGGTAGAACTGCTGCTGCAGGATGGAATTGAGTGACAATAAAGTATGACAAATATTTTAATATAGTAGCAAATTGAATTGAGGTTCTACCCTATTTCATTTCATGTTTAGTACTATGAATAAGACTCGTTATCACTGTGGTATAAAATATTTACAGCAGCATAATAATATGTATCATTCATTATTATTGGTCCACTACTGACTAAAGACTCAGTTACAGAAATTATCATGATATGTAACTATGAGTATTCGTGGTTATATTTGGAAATTTGAGACATACATGATATTTAAGTTATATATTTTTATTCCATTACTATATACATTAATATGCTTATATAAATGGGCACAAAAGAAAAATAAATGAAAGTGATTGCTCTTTTAATGTGTATATATGCACATATGTAGGTATAGTTAAATTGCATGCATACATGGTTGTAGAACATCTATCATGTGCTCATCTTTGGTTATGTGGTGACAGGTATACTGTGCACTCTTGGTATTTTCCAGCTACAGTAAAACCAAGTCAACCACTGGTACCTGCTTAAGCCATGTTGATGGGAAGGAAATTTGGAAATTTTATCACTGAAAATTTTTTTTAAATTCTTACAAATTTGAAGCTGTATGATCAAAATAGTGATTATGATGAATTAGATACTGTGTTATGGACTGAATTTCATATTTGTTAAATTTGGAAAAATCTAAAATGTTTGCATAAGTATCATGATTATGAAACAGACTTTACTGATGATGTGAATTGTATTGAAATGTACTTTACTCTTAGCAGGAAGGTCTGCATTGCTGTCCATTGATGTTTTCACCAGGGTAGGTCCTTCTGAGACAAAACTTCCTCCATTCTTCTCTGTCCTTCCATGAGCAATTCATATTAATCTGTGTACAGTATTCTCTGCTACATTGTATATACTCACATATCATCTCTTCATGTAGTCCTCCCATTCATTTTCCCACTTGATATCTCGGCACTTACCCTCCTCCCCAGTAGTTATTTGCCACTTCATTTTTTATTCCTTCAATGGCACCCATGATTCCACATCACAATATCCTAATTTCATCAGTTTTTATTCTTGTGTTTCTACCTTCAGACATTACTTATTGTACTGGTTTTAGATTTTATCCAGTCTTGTTTGTTTTTAATACACCATAGAAGCTTCACATGTTTACTGCTTTACTCTGCTTACAACTCCCTCACTCTGTGTCCATGTTTCTGCTCATATGTCTGAATAGGCAAGTACATGAACTTTGATTATCAATGGTAATGGAGGGGAGAAGTAGCACAGATAATTAAAAACAGTGGATAATCCACAAATCTGGAGAAATATCCATACTGCATTTAGCCCTGACAACACTTATTAAGCTTACTGGTTGTGTTACTGGTCAAAAATAATGAGAAAATTGTTTTTCCACAAGAAGCAGCCTTTGTTCAGTAGCAGGCAGATGCATAAAGCAGTAACAGTAAGGCAGAAAGTTTCATCGGGGGTGACTGTATATTCTACACCATATCATTATAATGCATCAGTGATATATATGACTGAAGGAAATGTAATGGACAACATTTAAATCATTAGGAGCAGCTATAATCAGTTCGTAAGTGGGTTCTAAAGATCCAGTGGTTAATACACGTGCTGGTAATTGGAAGCCCAGTGTAATATTGTTTATGTAAGTCATTTCAGGTATAAGTTTAATTTGGAGTGTCCTTGTAAAAGTCACAACTCGTCTTAAAAGGTTTTAATTCTTACTGGCCTGGCATCACATAATTTGGTCTGCTCACTGTGCAGTCTGGCGGGGAAGCATTGTTTTTTTCAGTACTGATACTTGTAAAATATGGCAGCAGGAGATTCATATTCCCTGATAAACAGTCACCCCTTAATTACAACATGGCCTTTATCCATCATGCAGGGAGATTTAAAACCCCTTATTCCTGGATGATAGACCGCCTCTGTAGTCTAGGGGCCAGAGTTCCTGGCTACAGATCCAGAGGTTCCAGGTTCGATTCTTGATGCTACCAGATTTTCTGAGAAGTAGTGGGCCTTGAAACAGGGTCCTCTCAGCCTCATGAGGATAATCGAGGAGCTACTTTAATGGAAAAGTGGCAGCTCCAGTCTAGAAAACCGAAATTAACAGCCGTGGGCATCTGTTGTGCTGACCACGCAACACCTTCTATCCGTTAAAGTTAGCACTAACTTCACTGACAAGCGGCAGTCACTCGGTCTAGTTTGTTTGCAGATTAAAGCCACAGAGTTTGTTTTTATTCCTTGATGGTAAAAGGTTAAAGGTATAAATATGACATGACAGCTGTCATCTATCAGGAAAACTAACTTGCACAAATGGACTTTCATAAAAGGCAGCAATTACGTAGCACCATCCCCTAACTTCATGTTAAATATTTTTATCCTGGGTAAAATGACAAACTTGGGTCAAAAATAGTAAATATAAAACAAACGCAGCACCTGAATTATTTTCTAGATAATTTTATTATTAAGATTAATTTTACAGTTAATTCACTGTTATATATATATATATGTATTATTTGTACAAATGATAAAACTGGTTCAGTGTTTATACAGGTAGTCTGTACTGAACAATTTACAAGCATTCATTCTAATATCTTCAAGAAGTCAAATATGTTAATCTCCTAAAAACAGTGTCAATTAAGTTGTTCATACTGCCTGACGAGTTCGTCAAGTTCAGTTGTCCAGTCAAGAGCTGAGGCCAGACTTTTGATGCCTTCAGTAATATCTCCAGATAAGATGGCATCATGGTCCCGATAGCCAAAACTTCCTACCACTGTTCTATTGAGAAGCAGCCTTGGGATATTGAACTGCACAGCATCAGCTACACCAGCAAATGGATATACCTGCAGGCAGAAAAACAAGTGACACGTGTTGTTGCATAAACAGCTTTGGAATTTTCTGTCACTTAGCTGGAGCAAATATCAAGTTTATTCAGTAATAGATTTTATTGTAAAGGAATACACAGTCAGTGTGAGAGAAAGATTGATCTTATTGCTGACAGATGAAAAATATATTGCATATGCTCTCAGGTTAACACATCAGTACCTCAAGTGATGTTCCAATGACTATGAGGAAGTCTGCAAGTGAAGCATCTATCTCGTGTAACCAGAAACGTTCAGGAAGAGCTTCACCAAAAAATACAATGTCTGGTTTCACCAAACCCTGAACATAAGGAACAAAAGGATAAAAATTATCAGACACTAATTAGGTGCATTTCTTTATAGATTACATTCTACTTAGACACAGCTCACAAACTTTGCCATACATACGGAACTTCCAATCGGAGGTTCTGTCTTTTCTGATTCATGACTAGTAAAACAGTAGTGAGTTTTTCAAGTGTTCCACCACTGTCTCACAGTGTCTACTACTTGTTAACAATCTACAAACTGTTACTAGCACCTTTAAACATGTTTATTTATGATACAGTTGTATCATAGAGAGATGTTATAATCAGACTGAGCACGTGTAATGAAAATGTATGTATGAGGGTATAGGAAATAATTTACATTCTTGAAATCATCTTCAAAGGATCTGGGATTTGTAATATGGCTGCCTACCCATTTCTGATGGTTGAAGTACCAGACTAAACCACAGTGTGCCTCTTTTCACTGCTTGTGTTACATTGTGATATGATGCTAACTAGAATCTGATGAACCAAATGTCACAATGAAGTGGGTAGCATTCCTGCTGCATATTTGAGATGTTTCTGCTTAAAATCTCGGCCCAGAGACAGCTATTCTGATAAGTTCTTTGTGGTTTTCCTCACTTCCCCCAGGCAAATGCTGGGATAGTACCTCAAGTTACTGGCTGCAACCACATCCATTCAAATTCATTTGCTGCAGTATAATCTGAGCTACTGACAGCTTTGTTAAATAAGTCAAATAAATAGGGAGGGTTTGTGGACAGCACAAATTTAGACATGAACCACCAGTTGAAAATTGTAGATCATAATGTGAACTTCTTGGTGCTGAGTAAGTATGACTGCAAACGGAATGTGTTAGTTTCGTCCTTGTCTGAGAGAAACTGTGAACTGCTAGTTCCACTAAATCAGGGTTTTAACTGAATACCCAGAAGTATGTTTTAATTGTAGGCTCTCAACTGGATAGTTCCACAGTGTCAAATGAGTCATATTCGATATTGCCTTTCTCTTAGTTTTCAGTATTTCTGAAAGGAAACAGTAAAGAAAAAACAATATCATGAAATCTGCAAGAGTTACACTGGATATTGCCTTTCTTTAAGTTCTGTGTATCAGAATATGGTACACAATAAAACTTGGAATAAGTGGCCAAATACTCAAATCCTGATTCAGTATTTACAAAACCATTTTCTACTTAACTTTTTATTTTTACTGCTAGTCATGTTACTAGTTAGTTATTAGAGAGGGTGGGTTTCCCCATGCACTGAGACCTGTATTGGTCCATTGTGCTTCCCTCTATGATTTCTACCAGTCTCTATATCGTACCGGTACTGGTGCTTACTATCAGTCCCGCCCAGTCAGCGAGACCGGCTCTACTAGCTGAGAGGTATCTATAATGCTTCCCCCATCTACCAGAGGTATTAGAGACTGCTGTTAGGCGGGAAACATCCGTTAATTTGGCTCAGTGACCTCCTTTTGAGATATGAGGTTCTTTTACCTTCTGTAAAGCTACGACACGGGACCCACGGCTTAAAGTCCCTCCCGGAGGACTTGTTCCCTGAATTTTTCCGCCCTTAAAAATTCGACGACCTCCGCCGGGTATTTGAACCCACACACTACGAGTCATGAGGTGGGAACGTTACCTCTAGACTACGGAGGCCGCTTAGTCATGTTACTATAATTTCCAAATACTGATACATTCTCTTTTGTATCTCATATTAATTAAGTCTACTATGTGAGAAGATTCTGACAGTGTTTTAAAACAAGGTCTTGAGGACCTTGAATTTCACCAGCAATTATAAACAGCTCAAGTGGCACATGGAAAGAACTGCTGGGCATGCAAAATTTTGATAAAATAATAATACCTAACTCAATAACAAAATTTTAATTTAAATGTGAGTGTGTAGGTGAGAATGATATCTGTGAGATATTTGAAGTTCTTGTGTTGGTATCAAGGTTATGGTCTTAGGATGTGACACCATGGTATATGGAGTCAGGAGGTTCCACTGAAACATTGGTACCTGTCAACCAAATTACAAGGCGTCATACACCAGAAGGCTGTAATAATAATATTTATGTTGATGTATGCACAAATTGTTCCTCTTTAAGTACTGAGAAACAGCCAATAAGATTTTCTTTCCACTACTGCTCTGAACTATCAAAACATATTTGAAGTGCATATAAATTCTTACTTTGCAGAATGATCTATCACAGTAAACGGTTTTGCCTTGTAAGATGTCTTCTCGAGTCTTGTGTGGATCATGTTTCTTGGAACACCTGATGCATGAGGCAGTGCTAAAGCCCCCATGAGCTTCTACCAGTTTCTCTTCTGGTATGCCACTTACTTCCAAACATACAAACAATATCAAAGTTATAACTTCTTATGCTACTTAATGCACCATTCACATAATACTGAATTATGTTTGGAACTATTTCTCTTAATTCTGTATTACTTCAATATAACATTTTTCACAGTTATTTTTGTAATTTAATTTCCTTTTGATTGCTGATATAAATCTTTAAATTTGCTATTTTGCAATGTATAGATGCAAAAAGACAAGGTATGACAAATATAAGTGACGTGTTTTGAACCATCATTTGCAGCAGTACCTGTAGTTATTTACACCATTCTGTGTGCAAATGTTTTCATAAATGAGACTGTAGTTTTAGTTCAGCTTGGTCCATTAATGAATGAAGGACTCAACAATATCTGAGGATTTACTGTAAACAAAGGCTCATTTTCAAACATGCAACACTATAAATTTTCTCTATTCAATCGGGATTTTGTTAGTTTTAATCAGTGATATGAACAAAATGTTATTTCATATTTTATGCATTTTATGATGTTTCATGCAATGTGACCAAGATCCAGCCCATTTATATATTACAGAACAAAGTATTCTATGCATACTCCATATTTTATGGGAATCAAGGTGTGTCGGCATCAATTAGTGATATACACCATTACGTTGTCATTATAGTTTACTAGATTCTGTTTTTAACATACTCCTAGTAATCAGACTCTGGTGGGAAATTCAAACATGCATAGGACTCTTTCTGTGTCAGGTTTCCCATATAAGATATGAAGTACCCTTTTTCACAAAGCAGGTGTACTTTGCGAAGATTCGATAACAATGATTTGGTTACACTATGAGTTAACTTAAACAATGGACAGTGATGAACTAAGAGACAACTTACATCTTTCAAGGCCATCGATGTTCTGCGTGTACATGCGGAGCAACTTTCCCTTTTTGTGCAGGAGGTGAATAAAATGATGCCCCAAATTTGGGTGATATTTTCCTCCAGGATATAACTCCTTAGCTAATGTGAGGAATGGACGTGGATCTTGTTCAAAGTATACAAGATCAAAGATTGCTTCAGGGTATGGTAAGTTGTACTGCTTTAAGTTGTAATAAAGTCCAGTGTCCGGAGACCTGAAGGTAAACTGTCCTGAATGTCATAACTCCATATGGTCATTGTCTATATTCTTTGAATGTGCTAAGTCATTGTTTCCCAACAAAGATATAAATTTAGAACAACACTTATTATGTAAGATTTGAGGTTTTCATGGCGGTGACTATGAAGAAAGCAGTCTTCTGGGATTTGGCACCGTGTATATGTGGTGTTAACCGACGTCTGCTTTTACCGGTTCTCACGGTCTCTTCACTTGTGAATTTCTTACAGTTTTCCTTCTACCCTGAAGATGAAGGCGATACGTTCCTCCGAAACGTCGGTTAACACCACATATACCCATTGCCAAATCCCAGAAGACTGCTTTCTTCAACACTTATTATCTTCTCAGACAACATTTTGACCATTAACAAGCTGCATACAATGAATGACTATGCATCAGAAACACATCTCATTTTTAAATTTCCTCCCCCATACATACAACATGCATGGGACTGATGAGAAATCCATACAAGTTTGGTCAGAAAAACCTGAAGGAAAGAGATCATTTGGAAGACCAAGGTATGTATGGGAGCATACTAAAATGCGTCATATGAAAACAATGGGCAGGTGGTGGGCTTGTGTCTTCGATTGACTAGTTGAGTGACTAATGGTTCACAAGAAAAATTCTGTTCCATGGAGTTAGTAAAATCTACAATAATAAAAGCAACAAAATGTTGTATATTTATTGTATGTTCATGACAATCTTTAATTATAAATGTGATGTATTGTTAAATATTTATTAGCCATAAATGAATTTAATAGAATAAAATATACTTTATGCCCATGAAAATGGTTAACAGTATAGTCCAAATGTCAAGTATCAATTATCAGAAAAATATGGTATTGTATTCTGCAGATACTATATAAAAGGAAGTGCCTATTCTGTCATATTCTAATACGTACATTCATACGGTATTATGACACTTAAAAACTGAGTCAAAGGTATAAAGCATAATATTTATTCCAACATTCTGAAAGCTGAGTTCTGACAGACAGGAAACTAAGCAGGGTTCAGGCTTCAAAAAGGCCCTTTTTTTTTTAAGAATACTGAAAACCTTTAACTGCCAAGCAACACATGACACTGCTGTATTCTCACAAGAAAGATTCAAGCCTAGGGGCACAGAACAAAATATTAAGTAATTCAATTCAATTATTTGTAATTTCTATTACAACTGTCTAATTTAACCTGCAAGAGAGAGAGTAGGAAAGCCAAGAATGAACTTCCCATCATGGAAGAATGGTTGGTTGTGCACTCACCTGAAGTCTGGTATTCCACTTGGTGTACTCAGGCCAGCACCTGCCATAACTAGCACATTGTTACATTTCTCCTTCAGCTGATTTGCAAAGCTCTTCAGAGATTCAGCAGATAACTGATTAGCTTGGCTGAAATACCTCAGGTGGGCTGCAGAACAAGACTGCAGATGGACTAAAATGGAACAAAAACTGCTTCCATCATGCATGTCATTTCCCAAATTCAGGGCATATGGTGATGAAAAATATAAGGGCACGAGAAAATATTGAAAGCGCACCCTATGGGCATTCATTCGATTTCCACTGGTAATTCATAACGAGTCAAATGCTGATGTGGACATACAAAAGTGAATGTATGGTATACTACCAAAATTATCATTATGAACATACTGGTACAGTCAATCATTCAAATTAAAATGACTAATTAATAGGTTAATAGGCTCCTGGAATAGGTATTAAACATATTCAAAACAGCGACTAACAATTATGTGCGGTTGCTAGTTCTCCTTAGAGTATCGTTGACAAATTTATCGAACGTACCGAATTTCATCGCACTACAGTGGTTCCAAATATTTCTCACTAGTTGCAAACACGGTGACATTGTAGTGAACGTTTGTCGGAACGGTTATAATCGGGATCAAAATAAATTTCTTACATTTCAGATTACCCTGATCACAACACTCTTTCCAAATTACGTATGGTCAAGTATATGTTCCACTTCAGCCTATGTATCCCCTACAAACTGATATTCACCGCCAAATAAATCAACTAGATAAGTTCCTAGAACATGTCTTTTCATAATACAGGCAACATAGTCTAAGCGATAAAGCGCGCAATGTTCAATCTACTAGACCTACTAGACATTGTGAGAATAATTGTTTTCTTAGTGTTGGTAGTATTACATGTCATTCGTGGTATATTCAGCGAACAATGTGTATGGCTGGAGAAATGTACAAACGGTACAAACGAAGTTTTGAATGTTGTCTGGATTATATATGAAACGCTAGAAGATGGATGGCATTTCAGATATATCGAAACGAATGTGCCGTTTATGTATGAATGAGGAGGATGTCGTGCTTTATGTAATTAATGAAAATCCCGGTTTTAGAAACTTTGGTATGCCGTTATCGTGGAGAATCATGATGTGTGTAGGAATTGCGGTAAGAACACGTTCATACGTAGGAACTCTGATAATACAGGCATGGGATTTATATAATAGTTTAATATGTACAGTGGAACATAGCTTTTGTTCGCAATCATGATAGTCCAAGTACCTATATCGTAAAGCGTAACTAAACCGGTTTGTAACATTTTTTGCAAGGTGTCACCTAACCTCATTTTTTTATTGTAGAAAAAATATTGTAAATACAAAAAAAGGCATAGGCAATGCCCATCCGGCCTTCTGTAGCACATTCTTATAAATATCTTATTCTATCATAGCGGTAACCCCGCGATTCGTAATATCAGTATATTTACATTTACTTCATGGATCCAATCACCTCCATGTAGGGCTGGATAAAAAACATGTCACACATTACAAATTCATGATGAATATACATCATACGTCCTTGGTCCAATAAAATATATAATCAGACCTCACGCAGACAGCATAAGTTGTTTAACATTTGAGCCCCTTGCATGCTCGACAAATTTGTCAATAGAGTAAAGTGAGTTTCTTTGCAAATAGTTTTGTAAAACAGACCTAAGTTAATTTTTATCAGTTTTTAAATCTGAGATATTTGATGGCAGAGTGTTAAATAGCTTGACACCTGAATAATACACCCCTCTCTGATAGGATGATAAATGTGTTGTAGGTATATGAAAGTGGCCATTCCTTCTTCTACCAATCATATATACAGATTTATTGGTCTGAAACATATCCACATTATTAACAACAAATGTCATCAGTGAGAGCAAATATACACATGGAAGTTAAGATCTATATTTAATAATAGCAGTAGTTGCAATGACCACATGACGTCCTCCATCTGCTAAAGTTAGCACTAACTTCGCCGACAAGCGGTAGTCGCTCGGTCGGTATAGTTCGCTTGCGGACTAAAGCCACTGCGTCACCTAACCACACTGTATAGTGAAGGGTCAGGACTAAATTCCAGCAGCAGCTGTAGGTCTTTTTTTCATATGCTGAATACTAATACAGCGTTTTGAAATCTGCTTCTCATTTTTCTCGTATTGAAGTAAAGGAGGAAGCATGGGACAGCATCTAGAATCTCTACAGAGATGATCATCATTGGAATTTGAAGGGCAGATGGGTGTTCTTATATCTTTGTATTCTCATAAATTCTTTTTACAGCATCTTGTAATATTTTACAAATAGTAACTGAAGTGAGGAACGTCCAAAGTCAGTTCAGAAATAATGATGTCATCAAACATTTTTAAATGTGTACCGGTAGCGTAGTTGGTTGAGGCACTATGCTACAAGCCAGAAGGCCGCGGGTTCAAGTCCCAATGAGGTCGTTGGATTTTTTCAATTGACATAATCCTTCCAGCCGCACTATAGCCCTGGGGTCGACTCAGCCTCTAACAGAAATGAGTACTAGGAATGAATTAAATAATCTTTCTGGGTAGTAAAGCGCCGCCAGCACGCAAGGCTGACAACCTTACCGCCATATTTGAGCTGATTGTCTAGATAATGTGGGACCCTCAACGTATCACAACCCTATGGGCCTTCACGGCCTGTTACAGGGATAGCTTTACTTTTTTTTTAATTTACCATATTTCCTTGCATGTAAGATAGATTTTCGCCGGTCACGGTAGCCGAGCGGTCTAAGGCATGCACTGTCTTCACTCACTCGGAAGCCGGGATCGTGGGTTCGAATCCCACTTAGGGCATTGATGTTTGTGTGCGTTTTTCTGTGTTTGTCTACAGGTAGAGGCCTTGCAATGAGCTGATCACTCGCCCAAGGAGTCCTACCGCATGTGTAAGATCTAGTAAACCGAAGTGAAACGGAGAGTTTCATGGAGGTAGGCCTAGGCCCAAATTGGGGCTGTAGCGCCACAGAAAAAAAAAGATAAATTTTCACTAAAAATGGCCAAGATATTCTAGTGCATTTTATAGACATGGTTTAGAATTCTTTTCTTCAGTTTCCTATCTCGACCATCATGTCTTACACATCAGGGAACATGATACTGTATTTTTCTGTTAAGTTAAATTACACATATTTCTAAAACTTACTTTTACCTAATTCATATACATTGTCCTCAGAATTATTCACTTCACTCTGTATAACCAGAACATATGTAACAGGAATGCATATTCCACCAAAATTAATTACAGTCCAGTGTCATCCATATTTTCTTACTCTTAGTATTTAAATCTCTTGCTTGGTTGACCATATGTTTGTCTGCAAATACAATATAAGAGCTTCTCAGTGCCATATCTTTGTTGTTTAGAATATGTTAATCAAGAAAAATTACTGACTGCCATACCTGTAGTGTATGCACAAGTTGACTACAACACTACAGGTATGGCAGTCAGAAAGGGCAGTAATATTTCTTGATTAACATATTCTAAATAATAAAGATACAAAATTGAGAAGTTTGATTATTATCGGCCCGGATTTTGATGACATGTCATCTTTTTTTCCTTGTATCCTATGCGATGCTCTTAAATATATAAATCTCGGATATGAGCTGCTAGTTACAGAAAGGTAATTTTTTGGTAAATTTTTGGACTTTTAAGGGTATTTCTTGTCATTTTTGGCCATTTTAGAGAATTTTTCTTCATATGTTTTCTGAAATGTGAATAACGTGGAAGCGAAGTGTTCTTTCTTTTCTCCTTTAGGTAATTTTTATGGATTTTTTTGGTCATTTTTTTATATTTTCAGGTAATCAAAATCCGGGCCCTGCATATTACATTTTAGGTCATTTTTCTGGATTTTTTCGGTCATTGTATAGGTCATTTTTTAAATATTTTCAGGTCATCAAAATCCAGGCCCTGACTATTATATTTGCAGACAAACATATGGGCAACCATGCAAGAGATTTTATATACCAACATTAAGAAAATATGGCACTCACTGGACTTCTGAATTTTAAAATTTAATTAATTGTCCTGATATTGCCAGTCATTTTATAACTTAAGTTACCTTAATTACATTAGTACTTTAATCTGTCTTGATTTCTAATGGTAGCAATCCCTTTTAAACAACATGCGTTTATCATACATGTAAAGTGTTTCCATTGTAGTGTTGTCTTTGCCTTCTGATGATAGCCAGTAGTGGCCAAAAGGTGTCAGCACTTTTAAGTATTAAATTGCTGCACTTGATAGACCTTGATACCTATAAAAATAGGCTACTGACAGTTCAATGCACATACATTTTATTTTTAAGTTTAATAAACCATAATAATCTAGTCATTTATTTTTAACTTTCCAGGTACTTCCTTATGACAATCTGCCTCAGTTTATTTGCCACCGTTGTCTGTACAGAGTAGACTCCTATTATGAATTCAAGGAAAAATGTAAGGAATGTGATAATTTGTTGCAGATAGAGAGGAACACTGCTACGCCACTGTCGGTAAATATGATCTTATTTTAAAGCTGAATTAGCATAACTGTTCAATTTAATCCCACATTCTGCTGTTTTAGTTACATACATTTACAAATAATTGTGAAAAGGATTTCTGTTTATATCATTTGTCACATTTGTTACAAGTAGAGCATACATGTATGAGAATACAGATGAAGCTCTAACTTAAGAACTTTCAAGAAGCGAACAATTTGTGTTTATGAACATCGCACAGACTAATAAATTGCAACTCCCAACTCATTAATGAACACAGAACTGCGCACTTACAAACGTTTTAACAGATTATCATCAACAAATTTAATGATATATCTTATGAAAAAAAGAATTCAGTCGACAAACACCTCTCAAAGAACACATTATGTTTGTAAGTTGGGGTTCACCTGTATTCATTGGCTCTAAATAACATAACTTTAAATACTGAATGCTGTTGTATACTTTGTAAGACTTTTCTAAAACCTTACCCTAAATGATAAATATAATGAGAAACTTAATAACTGACAAAGAGAACCTTTTTCCTCTTTGAGAATACTGTATTTGACCCAGGTCAGCTATGAAAAAGTCATAATGATATATTATATTACAGAGCAGTTAATTATAAGATAAATCTTTCAGATAAAATGCTCTTCAGCATGTATGTTATAAAATTCCATGTATCTCCCACAGGAAATATTAACTAATAAAATTGAAAACTTGGTTAATGTGGCCTTATGTGTCAGTGACTGATTCCACTTTTAATCTTACAATAATCCATCACATTAAATCACAAAAGTGAAATTCATTCTAGAGTATATCATTCCAAGGGCTTTATTTGCACTTGTACATTCATCATTGCACTTAATGGTCAGATTAAATTTGTGAATTTATTTAATGAGCTGACTATAAACGTGATAGTATGATTTATAAATTATAAATTCTCTTGTTGACTGATGAGAGATATTATGCTGCATAGAGACAGAAATTATTTTTCTCTTTCTGATTAAGTTTTATCCATAATTTTTCTCTCAAAGCTAATTCCATATATGAATGGAAGTACTGGAAATCATTATTGTAGATTTTGGCATGGTAGGTTGACTACTGACTACTGATGTGGCACAGTTCAGATATTTAGGAACAACAATAACAAATCAGAACCTGATTCAGGAAGAAATTAAGAGGAGATTGAACTCGGGTAATGCTTGCTACCATTCAGTCCAGAACCTTCTCGTATGCTGTCCAAAAACATAAAAGTTAGAATATACAAAACTATAATTTTGCCTGTGGTTCTGTATGGGTATGAAACTTTGTCTCTGACATTAAGGGAGGAAGATAGACTGAGCGTGTTTGAGAACAGGGTGTTGAGGAAAATATTTGAACCAAAGAGAGATGTGGTGACAGGAGGTTGGAGAAAAATGCGTAATGAGGAGCTTCATAACTACTCTTCCCCAAGTGTAATTAGAATGATCAGGTCAAGGAGGATGAGGTGGGCAGGGTATATAGCACAAATGGGAAGACAAGGCATCCATATAGGATATTGGTGGGAAAGCCAGAAGGAAAGAGACCACTGGGAAGACCAAGGCGTAGGTGGGTGGACAATATTAAAATGGATCTTAGAGAGATAGGATGGGATAGTATGGATTGGATTGGTCTGGCTCAGGATAGGGTCCAGTGGAGGGCTCTTGTGGACATGATAATGAACCTTTGGGTTCCATAAAATGCTGGGAAATTCTTGAGTAGCTGCAGAATTGGCGGCTCCTCTAGAAGGGCTCAGCTCTGTGAGTGAGTAACTAAGTAAGGTTGACTACTGAGCAGATGTTCTGCTTTGGGCATCTACTTGAGAAGAAAATGGAGTATGGACTCTGCACCAATTATTTATAGACTTCAAGAGAGCCTAAGACTCAGGAGAGAAGTATTGTATAGTATTTTTATTGAATTTGGTACACCCATGAAAATAGTTTGGCTAATTAAATTATATTCTAAATGAAATGGTAATGTCTGTGGGTGAAAATTTTTCTGGTATATTTCCAATGCAGAATGGCTGGAAATGAGGAGATGCCCTGTTGAGGTAACTGTAATATATGCCATTAGAAAGGTCCAAGAAGACCAAGAGTGATTGACATTGAATGGGACATGTCAGGTTCTGGTTTATGTTCATGATGATAATTTACTGAATGAAAACAGAACAAGTTATATATTTGTTAACGGCTCGCAACCAGAAAGCAAGACAAAACCATAATGTGAAGATATCTAATAGATCCTTTGAAAACGTGGTGACATTCAGCTGTTGGGGAATGACACTAACAAATCAAAGTTATGTTTATGATGAAACTAAGAGCAGATTAAAGTTGGGGAATGCTTGCAGTCATTTAGTTCAGAATATTTTGTCTTCCCATATGCTGTCTAAAAACTTTAACATTGAAATATATAAATTTTTATTTTTTCTGTTCTTATATATATGTGTGAAACTTGGTCTCACACAAAAGGAAGAGAACGGAAGACTGTGGTTGTTTGAGAACAGGGTGCTGAAGAGAATATTTCGATCTAAGAGGGAGGAAGTAACAGGAGGCTGAAGAAAATTGCATAATGAGGAGCTTCATAAATTGTAAAGACAAACAGGCGTTTTAGTTTCTTAGAATTGATGTAACTACCTAACAGTTGATAGTTATTAATGTGTTTAAGAAATGCTGTTCACAGTTTTAATTTAACCAAATATCTAATGGATTAACCAAATGGCTAACAAATTCTGGCCAATCCAGTAGAGCATCTCATGGATAAAGACGGATAGAGCATGACTCTTATCAGTCTCCTTAGTCTAATGTCAAGGTTTTGAGTGTGAAAAGCCTTGTCTCTATAAATGCATGGAATAGCTTACTACGACTTCAGACAGTACAGTGTGTGAGCACACAGATACATGAAGTTGTTCTGTAGCATCAGTTTGTGTATTTTCTTTTGACCTTCAAGAGACATATGGGAAACCAAGAAATTATAGTAACCATTATAAATACAGACTGTTACTGCTATAATAATGTAGAAACCACAGTAGAGTCTTAGTATGCAAACTAATACCACCTTTGACAGTTGATGTTGTAAATGAATGAGAATACATTTTCTTAAATTTGGATATATGTGATACGAGAATTAATGGTAGGCATTTTTCTTCGTTGTATTCAAAATTGTATAATTATAATGTATGTGTAAGTTCTGGGTGCATGATGTCAATTTCTTAGTATTTGCTGACACAGAGCATGTTAAAATGAATATTCAGGAGAGAGATTCTCACAATATGGTGAGGAATAAATTGGCGTATCAATATATTGACAAACTTTTGTGTTGGTTGTGTTGAACAGTTATGTTTTAGTGCTCTCTCTCTCTTGTGGTAGCTGTTGTTCAGGTTACATTCTAGTAATTGTTTCATGTATACAGTAAGGTTCCCTCCATATTCTTTGAAACATATCCTACACTATGTAAATATTGTCACAATTTAGAGTGACTAAAGCACCATTACTTTTTTTAATTGTTGCAGTGCAAACGTGCTTAGTAACAGTTGTGTATAGCCGCTTCTTCCAAGATCGTTGCCTAACAACAGGTCTACATGCCACATTCCTCCCTTCTTAAGGGAGCCTACAGACATAACACTATTACTTCTTTTGCGAGGACTGTGCTTGTGACGTCTGTGATTGGCCTAGCCTTCCTTTCCCATGGCTCATTTCTCATGGTGATTACTCTCAAACTGCTCTTGCTGTTGCCTCCTTAAAGCCGCTCATCCCGAATGGTTGCCTGATCAAGGTGTGAGCCAGTCCAGATGGACAACCATCATCATTTTCTGAGGGCCATGCTTTTGACGTCTCATCTTTCGTTTTAGAAGGGACTAAGCCTTCCATAATGCGCTGATACTCTTTCTCCGCAGTCTAATAGAAGTCCAAACTATTTGCTTTTCAATCTCCAACTTTATGGTCTTCCTGAAGATCCTGCCAAATGTCCTATCCTTCCACCAGACATAATTGCTATCTTGCGTCTCAGTCCTTTATTGCATTGTTGCATTCTGGGCCCTTCCATTGTCTCTTCTCGATCGTCAGGCCTTAATGACCATGTCCCTTATGCCATGTAGGAACAGCCTGGCGGATCATTCTTCTGCTGGCAGTATCCAACCTCTTCCAGGACCCAACATCGCCCTGGGTCTGTTTTCTTGGCTGTCAGTGGTGCCCTGTGGCTAGATGCCGGTCACCATATCAGTTATCCAGTGCTCCAATAGTTTCCTCTGCAGCCTCTTCTATGTGGACTTCCTGATGACCCACAGTGGCCTCTACAACTTCTGGAATTGCCTCCTGCTGCTCCAGATAGGCCTTTGTCTCTTATCACCAGGATGTCACCTCTTGTAAGACAGTGGTCATTGTGGATTTCATTTCCACTGGCCAGTCTTCATTTCATCAAATTACTACGACTGTCTCACTGAGTTACACACTCCAAAGATCATTGTAACTACAGTACACAAAAAATTATCTCAGTCTTCCCTAGTCGTTGCTCAGTATCGGTTTCCAATATCATTCCTTAACTGTCCCTGCCCTCAGCTACAGCAACTGTCAACTGACTCTCACTGTCCTGGTTATAACATCTTGGCACAGACTGCACAGAGAACACTGGTCCTCTGTTTTTAGTAACGGCTATTGTATAACTGCTTCTTTCATGGTCGTTACCTATCAGAGGTATACATGCTGCAATATATTGAAAAATGTATATCATATCTAAATAGTAATTATTTATTTTTGTCAGTTTTAAAACGTTTTTTAAAGTGTATATTTCAACAGAGATGGATTTTATAACCCATGCGACCGGATTTTGTTTTAGGAGAAAAATGAGAGAAAGAGACGTGAGAGGAGTCCATCTGAATCTCCAGAAGAAGTAGAAGAATATGGAGATGAACTACCATTTGTTATGGTTAAAAGTAATTCTGTGCCATTGGATCACCTTACAGATCCACTGACCTTATCAGACATTGAAAGTAACTCTCAGCAAAAGGAAGGATTATGCTTTAATGCAAGCATGGCGGCATCATCGTCATCTCTAAAGGGTGAAGTCATTCACAGTGTCCCTTTAGTTGATGCTTCTGAAACTTCAAGCCTAGAAAGAGTGGCTGGTTTGCCAAATCCCAGTCAGTGTGCTGCAATACATGCTAAGAGAAAAAGAAAAACTCTCAAACAGATGTCAGAACATAAGTTTGTTAATGTAGAGGACATGCTCAAGAAACAGTGCAGAGCTCAGAAGGTAGTGAAACGAGTTACACAAGATCCCAAATTAATTTTGGCAAATCGTACATGTCGAATTTGTGGTATAGTATGTACCTCTGCTGAATTTAAGGAGCATGCCATGTCTCACATGATTGATGAAAGTGGAAACAAGAAATACACATGTCCTGTTTGTGATAAGAGTTATTCAGCAAAATCCTCGGTGAGACGCCATGTGTTAAGTCACAATGCTGTCAAACCATATGAATGTTCAGTTTGTGACAGATCATTTTCAGATAGGTCAAACCTTATGAAACATGAACAGAGGCATAGTGGTCTCAAACCCTATGCTTGTGATCTATGTAAAACTGCATATGCAGATAATTCGTACTTATTAAAACATGTAAGAAACTGTCATTTATGGAAGAAACATGAAGTAGCAAGACATAAGGTTGTTCCAAATACTGATCATGAATGTTACACCAAACGAGAGATACCAAAGTCAAAGAGACACAAAGAAAGGAACAGGAAAAGGTGTGTTAAAAGACAGAATACTAATTCTACTACAATAGCATCAATTGTGCTTACTAATGAGGGTAATGAAGGTTGTGTTGAAATACCTAAGAATGTATAAAAATGTCTGCAAGAAGAACCACCTAAAATTTTCATTGAAAAGGTTTTTTTTATTGCTAGTGGGGTGAGACTAAGTCCCTTGTACTGCGGCCACTTCTGGCCTATTGTACCAGCCCCAGATGATAGGCGAGGGTGATTGTGGAGCAATTGGTGGAATGAAGATTGGCAGGGGAACCGAAGTACTCGGAGAAAACCTGTCCCAGCGCCACTTTGTCCACCACAAATCCCACTTGACCAGACCTGGGATCGAACCCGGGCCACCATGGTGGGAAGCCAGTGACTAACCGCTTGAGCTATGGCGCGGCCTCCACTGAAAAGTTAGTACTGATACTACCTCCAAACCATTTATGAACAGCATCCATGGACCTTCTGTCACCAGAATGTGTTGTTTGTAATTCCAGAGTTGTGAAGAATGTGACACACTTATGGCAAAACATGTAACATGGAAGCATGTCTGTGGAAAATATCATGATTTTGAAACCATAATAAATTTGTAATACCACCATGAGACTATTTCGTGTTCAGTCTTTCAAAGTAATACTTTTTACATTGTGTGTATAACTACAGAATTAGCCCAATATGGTGTTTGCAGCCATTAATTGCTACAAATGTGATAAAAGATGGTTACCTGAAGTGGGTTTGCCCAACTCCATACCACTGAGGAGCCTCACCTAACTGCAGCCTGCAGTATATAGAATATCTATGAAGCATAAATGAATGATTACGAATTTGACCAATAAGGTTAAAAAAATATTTCTTTAAATTTATTAAGGTTTGCAAGACTGCATCTGTAATGCATGCAGTCATGGAGTCAATACTGATTCCATACTTTCATGAGTTATTTAGTAGGTGTCACATGAATTCAGTTAAAAGATTGTACACTGTTTAGTTAGCACTATTCACAAAGATTTTTTATGTCCATGATTTATTCTGACCGTCTTACAATGCATACATTTATTCACCATACTCTTCTCTCTTGCACTACATGTTTCAGCACAAAAGTGCCATCTTCAGGTGCTTTTCGTTGTACATCAAACTACTTCATTGCATGCCCTGTTGTCTTTATACTAAAATATATACTCGTCATATATATTGATAAATTTTAAATATTAAAAATATTAAAACTGTTCAGGATTTGTCATCCTTATGTCATATCTCAATACGAGAGTCACACCTATCTTCCTCTATCGGAGCATTCTTCCTACTTTTGTGTGTGTATTGTGCTTTGTGTTGTGTCTTGCTCCTGTGACTGCGTGTGTAAGATTTTTTATGTGATTTGTCACCTTTTTTATAGAGGAGAAAAGCGTTAACATGTCTTGGGGAATTGAACGATCAGTTTAAATTTGGTCAATGAAGTTATTGGTTGTTGGTCATCTGCTGATAGCCCCATGATGGGAACTGTTTTGTGAATTACTCTTGTAGCAAAAACTTATAAGAACATGCTAATGTTGCCATTATTTTACTGTTCCACATTTGCATCCTTTGTGTAAATATACCAGAAGTAGTTTTTCATAACATTTGGGTGATCAGTGTCTAGGACATTAAGATTTCAGTTGTTTGAACTCCCATGTTGCTGAAAACAGTATTTCATGAAAAGTATCATATGGATGGTAAGCTTGATGATCTCTTTAACTGTGGTGTAAAGAATCAGTGAGTTCATTAATGACACATTTAGAGTGGCACAAGTGTTTAGAGCCATGTGACAAAACATTTGCTTAACCTAAGGGCATGCATGCACTTGTTGTTTCCACTCAGCTCAGAAGGAGAAATAAATGCAGACATAAGTATGTGCGGCCCCCTGCACTACTGGTACTCAGCTTGGATCTGCTGTGCACTCTGACCTTCCACCGTCGTCAGATAATATTTTGCTGAATGTCCATGAAGGCAGAGGGTGAAAAATATAGTATATAAAAATGAAACATTTTTTATGTCATGTCTGATGGTTCTCAAGATAAAAGCAAACACTTGGAATTGTGAATGTCATGCAGTCATTTTGTAACTTTAAGAGTGAGGGTACACCATGGAAACTGGCAACCACAAAGCTCCATTCAGTAACATGTGTTCAACTCAGGCTGATATCACTTTTCGGAAATTGTGGTTGCTTTGTGGTTGCCAGTTTCCATGGTGTGCCCTTGCCCTAAGAATGCATGTTGTGGGTTGACGCCATATAGCCTGTTAGAAACATTGTTGTTAGAAGGATGTATTGCAGTCTTAAGTTAAACAAGCCGTGTTCTGGAATATGACACCGTGTAGCCTGGTAGAAGTTTACTGATATTTTTGAGAACCTTGCTGCCCTCAGTATTGAATTGTAACGAACCAGTTTGTTGTGTACTGAACTTGCATATAATGTAATCGCGTATATTTGAATACCATAATTGTTCGTGCTTCGTGGAGGCTTGGCTGTATCCGACGTCAGTTCGGCCATATGTCCTGTGCTGGTTGTATGCGAATACTGAAAGGTCTGAGAGGAACGGGTATCGGCTCATCTGAGCGGAGCGGAAGTCTTGCAGGGGGCCGCCGCATTATTGCTTTTTATTCTAGTGGTGTGGGACTAAGTCCCTTGTACTGCGGCCACTTCTGGCCTATTGTACTAGCCCCAGATGATAGGTGAGGGGTGATTGTGGAGCAATTGGGAAAGAGGTTTTTCTTTACAACCAAATCAGCTCTGGGGCCCATCCATCCTCCTAGCCACATGGTATGGTTCTTTCCTTAGGTGGATTGGGGGGGGGGACATGAAGCTGAGCGCTTACCCACCTATATTGCCAAGGATAAGAATGTATGGAGCTATACCTACATTGCCTCATACATCTTCATGGTGTGGTGCTTAGTTATCTTATTCCTGATATTCAGCTGACATCAAATAAGCATCTATTACCATATAGTGCAACCTTCAACTTTAGTCCACATAAAGTAATAACCATCTCTGTTCACTGAATCATTCAATTTCATTCACTGAGTTGGAAAAATGCTTTTTTCTTGCTTCCCCCTCCCCTGCCAATTTTTTTAACCTTAAAATTGTATTGTTGTATAAGAATGGTGTATAAAATGGTATGCAATGTAGAGGTTAAGTACATGGACAACTTTACCCATGTTACTGACTTTTTATGAATTTGTCTAAATATAATCATCCATCCCCAGTGGTTAGGCATGCAACAGGAGTAAGTAATTGGCTAATGGGAATTTCCTGAGCTTTCCAGTTTTCACATATTTGCATATATCATACGATTGGTAAACGTACCTGATATTCTGATACCTGATACTTCTTCCAAGTCACTACTTTCTGCTCCACGTCACGTCTAATGTTACAACCACTTTCAAGGGTTGACTTTTGACAGCAGATGTTTCATCATTTATGGATCACAAGTGCAAGGTACCTCTTGTGGGACTATTTGTATATTTGCACATACTTACATGTCTAGCATGAGTGATATCATAGGTCATAACAATGTAATTATTTTACAGTAGAAAGATATTTTTCTTTTGCTAGTGTGACTACTTATCCCATTTAAAAGTAATTTTTTTTAATTCCCATAGTGGGGTTGGAGTCCAACTGGATCCGCTCAGCATGGCAGCCACTGATTGGCCTATTGTAGCCTGCCCCGGGTGATTATGATGATGGAGAATTTGGTGGAAGGAAAATTGGCAGGGGAAACCCACCCAGCGCCACTTTGTCCACCACAAATCCCACCTGACCAGACCCGGGATCGAACCCGGGCCGACATGGTGGGAAGCCAGCGAGTAACCGCTTGAGCTATGGCGCGGCCTAAAAGTTATGTTCCTTTTAGCATCAAATTCTTTAATGTAGTTACATAGAAATTTGATAGGGTTGCAAGTCATATCACTCAACAGTGTGGTGAAGTGGTTAGCACTGCTGACTCATATCTAGGTTCCCAGTTTTGAATCATCATGCAGTTCTGTAGCAGTTCAGTAGGGTTGCAATCATGTTTGTGAAAACTGGTGAAATGATTATCATTCCTGCTTCATATCTGGGAGGTCCCCAGGTCCGACTCTTAATGCAGTTCCATGGGGTTTTATTCATTCGGTCTCGACAGACAATTATTATATATAGCAAATTTATTTTTAAAAAAATGTTTATCCTGTGTGACAAATCTTCAACGAACATGTACAAGAACATCTATGTTTCTAGAATAATAAATAATAATATTGAGTAAGGCATCTGTGCTGTTTAAAGTACATCATATGAGTCTTTATATAACTGATATTTTACTAAGATTATCTGCTTGATGATAAGGCAGAGAATAATTTTAATATAGCTGCTCTCTGAACCAGTTAATATGTACACATAAGCATGTTCATTTGTGTAATGTTGTTAACTTCGAGCAGTGTGGAAACAGACATCATGTAGAATTCTTATGTCTGCTGATGTTTGGAAGAATTTCCACAGTCAAGTCCCCAGTAGTAATGCTACCAGATACTGTAAAGAGATTCAACTCTTGTTGAACTTGTTACCAACATAGTTGTTTATCTCCTGTCAGGAATTTCAATGTTCGTTGAGTTATGAGCCTGTAACATACACAAAAGTAGTTGTACGTTTCTGATCCCAGGAATCTTAGGATTGTTTACAGACACTATGAGGAGGCCCAAAATTAATAATTATGAATCACACAATTGCTGATGAAAATAAAATTTGGCAGATACCATACTTTGGTAGATGTGGAAATCACTGGGTTACCAAAGATGCTGAAAGTGTATTTCCTCTGCCTGAAGACACAGGCTGACATGAAGCCCCATGCTCACAAATGTAGGTAACATGGCAGGAGGATTTTCTGAAATTTCACTGGTAATGGAGATGGCCCCAACTGGGAAGGCAGGCACTGGCTCAGTATTGCAAAATTTTGTTTTCATTATTTATTATTGTATGATTTATAATTATTAAATCAGGGCCTCCAAGTGAATTTCCCTGTATAACTTAGTGACTTACTTTTTATGTAGTTTCTGGTATTGTACACTTCCATTAATTGAAAACTGTCTAACATAACTTCACAGATCTTCACCTTAATTATATTTATAATTTTCAGCACAGAAAACTGAATCATACAAGATTTATAGACATATTTATAATCTGTCATTATACCAGTCTGTATGTTTTTATCTAGCCATCTATATATGGCTGTACAGCCCTTGTGGACCTTGGCCAATTTTTCAGTTTCTTAATCTATACACAGTCGGTAGGACTCTTTTTGATTGGGGATCAACCAATCATAAGGCTGCTACCTACACAGAGAACAACACAAAGACAGAATAAATACACAGACATCTGTGCCTCAAGTAGGATTCGAACCCATGATCTCATATATGACATAAACACCGTCCCAAGTGCAACAATTTATTGTAGTTCTTTTGTCTTGCCCTCTTCTACACTACATGTTCCGGCTGCAAACGGCCATCATCAGGTGTATGCACTTACGTAGCTGTTACACTGCATCTGGTTTAAAATTTAAAACCATAAGTCTTCACAATTGTTCTTTTCGTCGTTACCAACAGGTTTCGATTTATCAGAATCTACTTTGCTGGTATCTGTCTGCTTTGTGCATTATCTTTGATCTCAGTTTTCGCACAAGCGGTGACAGTTTATGCCTTAGACTGTGCAGCCACTGTGATTGGCTTCTGTATGTTTTTAGCTGTAGTAATTCACGAGTTATTTTGTTACTTGTAAATTTTCCACAGAATTGACTATGTATATATAAACCCACAACACTGCAATATTTAAGAATTGTGCTGTGTATGTTGGGTGCTGCAATTTCAGAAGTTTCATAGCCATCATGTTGGTATTACTGATGCAATGGAATAAAACATTATATATGGTGGCCTATGAGGACATAAGCCTTCCATTCATTATAGACACTCCTATGGTCACATTGGTTATTCTAACACATTACCTCATTGTATGAATTGGTACAGCAGATGCATACAAGACACACAACAATGTCGTACCGTGGCGTAAGGCATGACACTTGTGGTACTCTGAGCACCAGTATGTTTCGAGTGCTGGTGACGTTACAGGCTGCTCATAAGCAGCTGCACCTTCTGAATTGCCTGAGAAAGAAATCAGTATAATGATTATTGGAGTATTTTTGTCATGAAAAGTTAAATAGTTCCGTCTAGTGTGACTGGTGAAGATTTTTCTTATTTCAATTATTTATGCCCTTACATGTTTCAGTCTTCAGAGACCATCATCAGAAGGACACCTTTACATCAATACAGCTGGAAGTTACTATTACAATATATGTTCTGAATGTTAAAATCTATGCATATAATATTAATAATATACAATTGGGTATAACATCTAAGGTCTTTACAACTACAGCGGCTGTTCCAATACATTAAAATATTTGTAACTTGTCTGTTAAGATTTTATTGGAATTTATAAACCAAGTAGGTTCGTGTCATCTTTCTTATAAACCTACTATATATAGACTATACACTTGGTCGTTGGCCTATGACTGACTTCCGTTCTGACTGACAGGTCATAAGTCGATCTGGTCGTATGTCGGCCATATATTTATTAATAGTATTTTTATCATCTTTATAATTTATTTTTAAAAACTTTTACATTTTAATCATCTTTTATTTTTCATTTTAAATATAGTAATGTTTTTCTCTTTTACTTAGCGATACTGTACATATCTTCGTTTCTACGCCTAGGCTATCTGTACATACTGTGGTCGTAAGTTGCATAGCTCATAAGTCGATGACCAAGTGTATATCATCCACTATTCCACTAATGTTATGCACAGATCTCTCATTTTGAATTTAACAAAAATTTGATCATGAAAAAGATCTTCTACAATCTTAAGAAAAGAATGCTTGTAATGGATCAGTATGGCTGAAAACTGGAATTTCCTGGCAACTTTCAGTGAAAGTTTCCAGTGTCTAAACTAAAAAGAAAAAATCTGTCCAACTATTTAGGTACTACATCATGGATGATGGGACAGTGTCCACGTAAGGCCTGCCTAATGAAACCAACTGATCAGTCTGTGAAGAAATACTTGAAAACTTATCATAGTATGCAATAAAGGAAATGGTTTTAATATCACAACAATAAGTACATACAAATTATATACTGCATTGCAAATACCACCACTTTAATACCTGATGACTGATTCATGAAAGTGGCTGCCACTTGATGGTAGAAAGTTCGAAGAACATCCAACCTATGGGCCCCACTAAGTGACCGGGATTCTTTTTTTCCAGCATCCGTGCGCTGGTTTCGGGAAAGCAAGAATTTTCCAGCCTGGTGATCAACCAGTAATAGTCTGTAACATATTATGAATAAAGCTTCAAATGCTAATTCATACAGGTTGTGTCACCTACTGTAAAACTAATGGAACAACAGTAATGTTTAGGATGGTGTCGATGGAAATGAAGTGGTAATGTAAAATATGCAAGAAAGAATGAACAGATCAAGACAGCCATTTCTCAAATAAGAAAGCACTATATGCGATGTCAAAGAAATTGGTATTTCAAAATATGATGAATTCGGACTCAGTTCTACACTCCTTATGCAACTCAGTCCTAGTGTATTTGCTATATGTGAAATTCAATTCAGTTCAATTCTGCATTCAGGAAGGAAACTGGAAGGGCTGTTGATAAAATATACACTGCCAGACAAAACTAGAAGGAAACATCATAAGCAATATCATTAGTGGTATATCTTAATCCAGCTTCTTAGGCTGCGCCATAGTTCAAGCGGTTAGTTGCTGGCTTCCCACCGCAGTGGCCCAGGTTCGAGTCTGGGTCTGGTCAAGTGGGATTTGCGGTGGACAAAGTGGCACTGGGGCAGGTTTTCTCTGAGTACTTCAGTTTCCCCTGCCAATGTTCATTCCACCAAATTCTCCATCATAATCACTCGGGGCAGGCTACAATAGGCCAATCAGTGGCCGATGTGCCGAGTGGACGCAGCTGGACTCCACCCCCCCACTATGCAAATTAAAAAAAAAATAATCCAGCTTCTTAAGTCTGCTATAGAAAATGTGGATGTCACAGAAGATTAAAAAGAATTATGCAATGTTATGCATGCGAGCCTTTCACATAACAATGACAGCCACAAGCCGTATTCAAAATGTATTTTAAGCTTAAATGATTTATAAAATTAAACAAATCAGTTTCAAAAGAAGAAACAGAGTTTAAAAAGTGTAGATTATTTGCAATTTTGCGTACCTCCCTAATCCTAGTGTTTACTTACTGCAGACATAACTTTACTGTTGCAGAGCTAATACAAATGTCACACTCCACATCAGGAGTGATTTTTCCATACATTTCCTGCACTGGAAAATGTAGCAAATAAAAGTCACTTATCTTAATGACATCTGTATTTTATAGCATACACAGATCTCTTGTATGATGAGCTGATAACAATAGCAGTAAATTCAGTATGCAGCATGTTGGACCAGTAAAACGTAAAGTTTTTCCTTGTGCTTGACTAATCAAGTTCTATGTCACGAAGGTGTATGGGGGAATGGATGTGTAGATCCACATTTTCTTGACCTTGGCACTAGCTGGAGATGAGCAGTCAGCTTCACGCCCCGGTAGCTTTACCCCCGGTACCCACTGGATAGGAGGCTCGGTGGACCCCAGAGCTGGTCTGGATGATGTGGAGGAGAGAGAATCCTTGACCCTACCAGGACTTGAAATCTGATCCCTTGGTTGTCCAACCTGTAGCCAGTCGCTATACCAACTGCGCTCTCCCAGCTTATATTGGACCAGTATGAACCAAAATTAAATTTGCCTTACAGTTTTAGTGTAGGACTCCAATATGAATTTTAACTGGGAGGGCTGGGGCATCTGTAATTCATTTAGGACCAGATACAGGCAGCAGTTCTGAAATCTAACAGTAATAAAATGTTATGTTTGTGTTGTATTGATTTGTTGTAAATTAACTGAAAAAATTTATTCTCTGACAGATACTATCCTCACCCCATGACACCATTATCAAGCTGAATGCTGGGAGGGAAGTTCCGAGGGAAGCATTGTTCTGCAGCTCGTAAAACGTCAATGGCACCTTTCCAGCATTGGATAGAGACATGTTCTACTTCAGTGAGAGGTGGGGATGGTCCACAGAGGGCACAAATCTGTATGCCTCCCACCAACCCACAGGCAACAAGTCTGAATGGAACCTACAACAAGAAAAGTAAGTCAGTTACGGATATAGATAGAGTTTCTCGGGATGTGAAGGAAGGAGATGTGTGATATAATACAGGAAAAGCTTATTATAGTGTTTTCTGCTGAAGGATGTCTTATGACCTCAGTTTAATTCTTTAACATTCTCAAGTCCAATGAGTATTTAAGTGTCCTGATACTATATGTCAGAGGGTTAAAGAGCAACAGACATATTTAGATGTCAGAATACATTTTATATATGTGGTGAACTCTCAGTTATCTGCTGCAATGGAAGGAAGTAGTAGTGTGGAAATTAAAACAATAGATAATTCAAATACCAGTATATAATGAACTTTGTGTGAAGTTAAAATCTCTAATGAACAGTAAATTATGAGGCGTGAGGTAGCATAGTTGGTTGAGGCACTATGCTACAAGCTGGAAAGTCATGGGTTCAAATCCCAATGAAGTCGTTGACTTTTTTCAGTTTACCTAATCCTCCTAGCCACACTATGGCCCTGGGGTTGACTCAGCTTCTAACAGAAATGAGTATCAATAATCTTCCAGGGGGGTAAAGAATGGCCAGCACATAAGGCTGACAACCTCACCGCCATCTGTGGGTTGACTGTCTATAAAATGTGAGAGCCTCAATGTCTCACAACCCCATGGGCCTTCACAGCCTGTTACTTTTTTTTAACCTTATAGCAGACTACAGAATTTACTGGTCATGCTGCTAATGTTTTTTTTTTTTGCTAGTGGAGTGGGACTAAGTCCTTTGTACTGTCTTCTGTAAAGGTGTCCATATGTAAACCTTAAAACAAAACTTTCCATCCCTGTAGGCCTGCCTCTACTGTATACATGGTGAGGCATCATAAGGTCACTACTGGAAAAGTCTGTGAAATTCCTACCAGTTTGGAACTGAGTGATGTAGATGGTTATTCTGATAAATTATATGATGTGACATGGATCAAATTTATGATCCTACAGCTGTAAAAATGTGAAAGAACCTATGGCACATGACAAGTACATTAATAAGAATCTTCTGTTACATCTAGACTTCTAAGCCTGAATGCACAAAATCCTTCATTCATAATGTAATGATTTGGGTGGGGGGATCTTAGTACATTGTGCATTCAAGTTCTAAGGTCTCTGATTTTTTTTTCTCACACAATAATCATACAAAAAATGTTTTCACTTTTCAACATAATCTCCCTGCAGCTGTACACATTTTTCACAACGTCAACGCCATGATTCCATGGCCACTGCGAACCCTTCTGTAGGAGTCTGTTTTGACCACTGGAAAATTGCTGATGCAATAGCGGATTGAAAAACGGCATCCATGTCTCATCAGTTGTCACAGTTGATGAAAAGAAAGTCCCATTCATGCCTTCATCACGTGTCAACATCGCCTGGCAAATTGCCATGCATGCAGCCTTGTGGTCATCCGCCAAAATTCGTGGCGCCCACCTGGAGGACACTTTCCGCATTCGCAGGTCTTCATGCAGGATTTTGTGCACAGATCCCACGGAAATGCCAACTTTGGAGGCGATGTTTTCCACACTCAATCAGCGATCCTCCAAAACAACTTTCTCGCTTGACCATGTTGTCAGACTGGCTGGTGCGAGGCCGAGATTGTTTTGGTTCGTTGTCACACAACGGTCGGCCTTCTTTGAACTGTCGCGCCCATGAACGCACATTTTTCACATTTGTGACACCATCACCACACGTCTCACTCAACTGGCGATGAATTTCAATGGGTGTCACACCACACAAGTGGAGAAAACGAATGATTACTCATTGTTCTTGTAATGAAAATGTCGCCATTTTAAGTATCAAAAACACTCCCCACTCTTGCCGCTGCCACTAGAGTTCTGTGTGCCATAGAGTGCTGCCATCTCTGTCACGCATTCACAAAGAGTGCACACGTATTTTAAACTAAACCGCATGTATCTATCTGCTCCAAGTCCTGAGAAAAAAAATTGGAGACCTTAGAACTTGAACGCCCCTCGTACATGACTTAGGTGGCTGACAGAAGAAATATGGCATGAGACAGCCCTCCTTTATGTTACCATCAGGCAGGAACATATACCTGGTATGCATATATATGTTTTACCTAAAATAACTTATTCCTGTTTTCCTGACAGTGTTTTCTAGCTAGTTAAACTGTTTTATATCGCCCAGGCTTATATAAATTATTCTAACAATAGACATTTGCACTCATTAATTATGTGTAATTGCCGTCTCTTTTCAAGACTCATAGTGAAAAGAAAATATTTTGGACAGAAAATTAAATCCCTTCATGAAACCACTACATTCCTATGAACATTATTAGAACATACTCACAGCTGGACTCTTACACGGCAAGAACACAGGTATGTCACATGCTGTACAGGTTCCTTCAACTGACACGAGAAGTGCAAGCAGTTTCATCTCCTCTGGATCAAGCTGCCACCAACTGGATGTGGCCACAGCTACACGGCCTCGGATTAACAGAAACCCGTAGAGGGAATCCACACATTCAGCCCAAGTATCCACCAAACTCTGCAGACAATCACAGTCATATTTATCAGATTACAAAGAACTAGTAGATGGTGTCAGTATTAATACTTCGTTCTGTCAGTCTTTTGTAAAAAAAAATAATAATGTCATGAACGCGTTTTTGGAATGATGGGGGAACAAAATGAAACATTTTTCACTTGGTATCAGCAGAAAGTTGAGTTACTGAAAACTTGGATGAGAGTACAACAGTGAAGAAGACAAAGAACAAAATTTATGTTAGAACACAATTACTTAAGGAGCTTGTATAGTCGGTATAGCGATTAGCTTTGCGTATAACGTAAATGTATAGGGTACAGGTGTTGCAAAAAAGGGAAGCAATAATATGAAACAAAACTGCAAGCTGCATTTAAAAAATCTGTAATTTTTGTCCGTGAAATTGGGTGGGAATTCAGATCCCAGTGTTTAGCATCCTCAGGGACAACAAATGATTCTTTTCCTATCTATGTTTGTATTTCAGAATTCTTATGCAATAAAATGTTCATGTAATATGGTGAAATGACTGATACCACAGCTTTCACTTGGATGAGTTGGTTTCTCACTTTTCAATGGATAGAAAGTAATTCTGCCTGAATAAATGCCAGATCCCCTCCCTGCCAGCTGTGAGGATAATCCCCCACACATCCAGATCCCCTCCCTGCCAGCTGTGAGGATAATCCCCCCACATCCAGATCCCCTCCCTGCTAGCTGTGAGGATAATCCCCCACATCCAGATCCCCTCCCTGTCAGCTGCGAGGATAATCCCCCCACATCCAGATCCCCTCCCTGCCAGCTGTGAGGATAATCCCCCCACATCCAGACCCCCATTCACTGACCTGCAATAAATGATTCTCCTGACACAACGTAACCTCTACTAAACCCAAAAGGTCACTGCAGTTAGCTGCACGGTCACTGCTTGTTACATCCACACATTCTAACAGGCGATCCAATAAAGGGTAGCAAACCTGTAAAAGGAAAATACCTCACATTGAAAATATTTGTACCTACAAACAATATTAAATTATAACTGTTTATTTAACATTACAGTAATAAAATAAATTTAAATACTTTTGTAGAATTGTAGCACATGCAATTGTTGAGAGTGCAGAGTTAACACTTTTACACCATACTTCAATTAAAAATGCACTATGCTTTAATGAGGATTCCGTGGAATTAAAAAGACCGTTTCCAAATTTGGCACAGTTAACTATGGGTAAAATGAATATTCTGTTACTCAGCACTTGAAAATGTTTGCAACACATATCTGGGAAATCAATGTTCAAAGCAAATGTAGTAACAGTTTTTTTCAGAATTTTAACTTACCAATGGTATTTAAGACTGAAAAATTGCATGAACATAAAAATCATATCAAAACCACAATTATGTCCTGCTTTTGTCAAAGTAATTCTCTATTATGAATTTATTCCTCTGAAACAGTCAATTTATTGTTCTAACTTTGAAAGTTTACTGTTACAACATCACATCTATTGAAGAGTCAAATGCTTGGTTGGACAAGTGGATTTTCCACCATGACACTTGATCTTCACATATAGCACCTTCAGTAAAGCAATATCCTCCACCTTTGACTTGGTCCTTTATGCCTTTTAATGTTGCCAGAATTAAAAATGCTCCATATATCGATAATAATGTCATTTTGATTCAGATGAAGACATTCAAAGTACTGGGACAATACTGAAAGAATTAGGATGTTACAGAATATGATTCAAGCAATTTTTCAAGGCATGAAAGAGATGGAATATGCATATAAAGTCAAGGTCGAACACTTTGAAGCTGACTGTATTCATTAAAGGCAAGTTATCTGTCAGACCTCATACATTCTTCCTTCATAACTATCTGAGTTTCAGAAATTTCCTGTACTGTCATTCTATCAACTCAAAAACCTCATGTTACCATTTATGATTCCATAAAAGAATGATACATATGACTTATATGAATAATAACTACATATTTCTCTGTTCTGTGACTGGATTCAGTTTCCTTTATATTTTTTAAGTTGGTTATTTAACAACGTTGTGATTTGATCTAAGAAAGGTATGGATTTCTGACATTAAAAAACCAAAATAGTGCATATCTGATAAAAGTTACCCTGAGTTCTCTCTTCAGACGTTCAGCGTTACGAGCTGAACATAATTCATCAATACCAACTGCAAGTACCATTACATTAAAAACTGAAGTTAGCAGTTGATTCAGAAGCATTTCACTAGCACCACATGCTGCAACAATGAGTGTTACACTATAACAGAAAGAAATGCAGGTTTGTCAGTGGTAAATAGTAACCATTAGATGTTATAGTTCCAGTATCTTGGGCATTTGTGTCTTTATGAAACACCTTATAACAAAATATGTTGTTAGTGTCTTGCTTGTTACATATTTTATTTTCTGCCAGTAAACATGGTACTTGCTGACACATGGTAAGTCAGTTGGACATAATAAATGGCAGTTCAACCTTTCAGTCTGTGTGATGGAGCTAAGATGTAAGTATCCTTCAGGTATGTCTGAGTCCAAGAAGGTGGGTTTCACATTTCTTCTGTGTATGTGTATCTCCCTAGTGCCTAACTAGTACCACAGGTTTTCTTCATATTTGATATTTATAAATATTTTTTGCTATGCAGATGTTCTATGAATATGAACTTTATATTTAAAAAATACAACAATTTACAACAAAAGGATTAAATGAAAAATAATACAGTATTTTTGAGTAATACTTTGTACAGTCACATGTTTCTTCTTTTTAATTCACATAGTGGGGAGTGGAGTCCAGCTGGGTCCACTCGGCACGTCGGCCACTTATTGGCCTATTGTACCTACCCCGGGTGATTATGATAATGGAGAATTTGGTGGAATGAAGATTGGCAGGGTAAACTGAAGTACTCTAAGAAAACCTGCCCCCAGCGCCACTTTCTCCACCACAAATCCCACTAGACGAAACCCGGGCCACCACGATTGGAAGACAGCGACTAACCACTTGAGCTATGGTGTGGCCTTAGAGTATCATGTTATATAATTGTGCATATGCTGCATGTCTAAGGGATAATCACGTGTGTAATATTTTTCAAATGTGCAATGTGTATGAAAAAGTTTTTGTAATTAGGTATGTGAACAAGCAACACTCTATCCAGTTCAACATAACCACATTTCTGGAGACAGAACTAGACCTCATACAAACCACTTCAACATAAAAAAGACTCTCAACATGAAATCGGGCCTACCCTACAATTCCTAAACCTAACACAAACATTCCACACTTCTTTTGTGTTTTATAGTCTTACTGGTTGGTTTTGTTAGGTTGGGTCAGATTACACATCTCACCTCAGCTTAGGGAGATCCAAATGATATGTGGCACTTCTACCAATTTTATTTTACAGTCGTCATAGTTATATCAGCCCTATTGTAACTGCAGTAAAATATAACTTGCAATTCCACCATATGCACTAACTTCAATGCACAATTCCCCTTCTCAGTATAATTAATGGAACTTTAAATTTGCAGGAGCAGAACAGATGACCTTCCTGGACAGCCCTTTGATCATACCTGTCTTCCCAAACCTTCCAGACAACAGTTGTCTCTTGTGTTGAAGTGCTCCTCAGAACAACAGACTGTGACTTTCCAAACATATGCACACCATTCAGAGATGCAACCACAGAGAACGGGAGCTGTAACAGGTGAAGTAAACAGTCGGGCATTATGACTAAAGTTTTTAATTTTTAAGGGTCTGAAGGTAGGTCAATTAGTTAGAATGAAGAATACTGTTTTGGAGCATCCTGTGACACTGTGTATTTCAATTTTAGCACTCACTCCACCGTCTCTGTGAAACTTTGTCCATATATTAAAATTCACTTTTTGAAGGTTGTTTCTCTCTTCTTCTAATTTTTTTAACACTACACATTTTGGCCTGACTGGCCATCATCAGGTGTATAGGATTGTAGATGAGAACTGCTGCTCTGTTGTAATACTGTTATATTTTGCATTTCACAAACAATGTAAAATGCCTATAAAACACTTTTTTAAGTTATTTTAAGATTATCATTACTTCTGTTGTGCACACTGTTTTGTGTATCTGTAATGTATAATAATGGGTCATATTGGTGTTTTATTTAAGAGATGGATATGTTATTCTGTCTCTGTATTTGTAATGTTACTTAAGTTTTTCTTTCATGTGTTGGTTTATTTCTTTTGTGCAGTTGTAGCTGTGCTTGTTGTTTCATGTAGTGGTTCTGTTTTTATATAGCTGAGTTTGGTGTGTGTGCTCCTAAAGTAAAAATAAAGTAAAGCTATCCCTGTACCAGGCTGTGAAGGCCCATAGGGTTGTGAGACGTTGAGGCTCCCACATTATCTAGACAGTCAGCTCAAAGATGGCGGTAAAGTTGTCAGTCTTATGTGCCGGCCGCTCTTTACTCCCCAGGAAAATTATTTAATTAATTCCTGGTACTCTTTTCTGTTGGAGGCTGAGTCGAACCCAGGGCCATAGTGTGGCTGGAAGGATTAGGTCAATTGGAAAAAATCCAATGACCTCATCGGGACTTGAACCCACGACCTTCTGACTTGTAACATAGTGCCTCAACCACTACGCTACCGCGTACTTATTCTGTATATATATGGTATTTTTCTAATGTGTTTAAATGTTTTCCTTTTAATGTGTTCTTACAATGTCCACTGTATCTGTTAATGTTCCCTATGTATGTCCTGTGTTTAATATGTGGCTTGAGTATCCAAAATTACTATTATTATTTCTAATTGCTTGTATATGTTCTTTGTAGCTAGTGTGGAATGCCCTGCCTATTTGACCTATGTATTTCAGCGGGAAGCCTAGGCATTTCATTTGGTTTATGCCACTTTTGTTGTAGTTGTCCAGTCATCTGACTTGTAAGGGACATATCAATGTTTTGCTTCACAAGTTGAGCACAGTTGGTTTTCTAATGCAAAAATTATCCTATATATTAAATATAAATAGTCTTAAAGCTGTATAGTATGCATATTATCATTCATTGGTGAAATATGGAATAATATATTGCGTAAATACATCAGTCATAAGGTCTTTGTTATGCAAAATAAAATAATAAGAAAAATGATGGGAGTGGGGCCAACTCATACATGTAGAAATCTATTTAAAAAGCTTGACATAATACCAATCCCATGTGCATATTTGCTCTCATTGATGACATTTGTTGTTAACAATCTGGATAAGTTTCAAACCAGTAACTCTGTGTATATGATTGGTACAAGAAGGAATGACCACCTTCATGTACCTACAACACATTTATCATCCTATCAGAGTGGGGTGTATTATTCAGGTGTCAAGCTATTTAACACTCTGCCATCAAATAACTCAGTTTTAAAGAATGATAAAAACCAATTTAGGTTTGTTTTACAAAATTATTTGCAAAGTAACTCATTTTACTCTCTTGACAAATTTGTCGAGCATGCAAGGGCCTCAAAAGTTAAGAGTTAATAAATGGTCTCTGTGCTTGTATTATACATTGTTGAGACTTGCCTGTTGTAAGTGTAGTAGTATGTATGACGTCTGTGTTGGTTATGAATTTTAATGTTACAATGAAACTGTATTGATGATATGACTGGCCAGTGTGTGTGGAATGACAAGGTGCGAATGTGACAGTGGTTTTTCCATGGCCTATGTGTGTTGTCCTGACAACTTGAGCTATTCTGTCTCAGGCTTGATTTTATATTTTACTGGACCAAGGACGAATGATGAATGTGTAATATGTGACATGCTTTATATCCAGCCCTACAGGGAATGATGGGATCCATGAATGTAAATGCAAATGTCTGCTACTGTTATTATGCTGATCCATATATATATTTTGTTCCGGGTTGATACGGTAAAAATTAGAATCCTGAACATATCTGCACCTAGCCTAAGCTGGAAATAAAACTGGGGAATAAGAACTGCACGAAACGCACATGGTAGGACTAAAGCCGTATTCCGCTCATTTAGTAAATGGTACAAGTGTTAAGGAGTGAGAAAGAAACAAACAAACATGTCATTTATACGAACAGGTTCGCCATCTCCTCTTTTCCTGGTAAACAGTGGTAATCCCCCAGCCGTTGTCAAACACATTAAATGAACCACCATAATAAAAGTTGTTTACAAACAGCTGTTCCTCAAATTACAGGCACAGTCGACTGAAAACTATCGAATTACTCGATTGTTGCAATTATCGAACAATTCAAATATCTAAAAAAACTAGAATCAATTTATAAGTAAACTATGTGCATTAGGCATGAAGTATGCGTACAAAGACCCAATTAATTTATTCGGTTTAGAAAATATCGAATGTCAAAAAAGTGAAATGAATTCATTCAGCTTAAAAAACTTATGGAAGTAAGAATGATCAAAGGTCGGAAGGCAGTGTAAGAAATCTCTATATCATTGAGCTGTAATAAGTGTCAGGGGTACGGATTAGGTACGTTACTTGTAGACGCGTGAATGTAACTTGGTAACTTACTTACTCATGGAGCTGAGCTCTTCCGGAGGAGCCGTCAATTCTGCAGCTACTCAAGAATTTCCCAACATTTTATGGAACCCAAAGGTTCATTATCGTGTTCACAAGGGCCCTCCACTGGTCCCTATCCTTAGCCAGATCTAGCCCATCCATACCATCCCATCCTATGTAACTTGGTAACGTTTTTGTTTATACATTTACTTTTTCGAAATAGAGATAATGCAACTTTGTAACATTATTTCTATTTCGAAAAAATAAATGTATAAACAAAAATGGCCTAGGCAATGCCCATCCGGTACCATACGTGATGGGCTGCCACCTATTACCATATTCAAATAAACCATAACGTACATCGTGTAACCAGTGGCCCAGTTGGTAAGAAGGTCAACTGCTCTTCCACCATGAAAATAGCTCCCAACTATCGCTATCACACTACGACTGCCTGTAATAGTAGTTCTGTGAATAATCAGTAGGTGTCTCCATGTACGTTGTCACTTAGTCACAGGGGTCACAGGTCATAGTCCCGTTCGGTCCCGATTAGTCGATCTCTTTTTAACCCAAATTTGTACATGGGACCAATGATTGATAAGATAGGCAGTTGTGCATACTCGAGATCAAGAGCAAATTTTCGTTTGTATTTAGTAATATTATTTCTTAGTTGCTGGCTGCTGTTGCTTTATGTCTTGTCGCTTGGCACAGATACACGAAATTCCAAGTCAACGAAAGGTATTTTTTTTTCAAACCACATGAAGTATATATCTCTTAAATAATATACAGGTTTGTGGTTTTGTGTTGTATGTCACCCGTTCATCGGTACTGTAGAGCTTCAGCTACATATAGTGTGAGATTTGAGGTTCTAACGGCGGTTGGTATGAAGATTCGTGGAGTGAAAGTTGCTGTTTGCAAGGATGTGGTATCTTGTAGTTTCATAGATCGGTGTGAACGTTTTGGAGGAATGTACCGTGAAGGTGGAGGTGCAGGTTCCGCCGAAACGTTGGTAACATTCTACCAAACTACACGGTACCTCATCCCAGAAGACCATAATGTTGGCACTTCATGCAGGTGGTGAATTTTCTTTTGGGGCTGTGTCACTATGGATAGGCTGCCACATAAACAGAAGTTCAATTGTAAATTGTATAAGTGTGAATTGTCTCTTTCCGTCATTACTAGACCTAGATCCAGGCACTAGATTGCCTCATAGTCACACCGATAGAAGAGCTTTGTTACAAATGTATTTATATATTCCAATCCTTTACTCTCCTAACATAAAGATTCTCTGCTGTACAAACAAAGCAGTTTGAATTTGTCCAAAGTCAGCATAATCCAATCCTGCCTATCTTCCATATATGTTGTGCTGTAGTAGGACTGAATGGACCAATGCTTATCCAGTGAACAGTACAAGGAGCAGAGTGTAATGATGAATTTCTTGTCAGTTTTGCTGTCACTATCCTCATCTTTACAATGTCCCTCTGTTTGTTGTTTGCTCAGATCATGGGGACACATGTGAATTGTAAAGTATGATGTTAAAGACTGTTGTTGTAATTGTGATTTTTATAACAATTAATTTGTCCTGGAATTAAGATGCACTTGTAACTTTTTGCTTTAGGAATCCAAAAAATTCAAATATCCTTAGGAGAAGAATCACCTTGAGGGTTAGCATGTACTGCAGTAGAATGGTTCATGCTGTTTAGATGGAAATGGAGTGAGAACTTTATAAAGAAAAGTTTTAAATCACTTATAAAAATATTATGTTTTTAGACATTATCCATCATCCTGTCTTTATCTAAAAACACCTTCCTCTTTATTTTTCCTAACAACATTTTGGAGACTGGATTCTTTCTCCATCTTCAGGTAAAACCTTCTCAGTTGGGCTCAATGGATAGAGCTAGTCCCTATCTTTGGATATCCAGACGATCGATAATGTCCAAAAACATAATATTTGTTTTAAGTCACTTGTTTAAAGTATTTTATTACATACAGTTTCTTTTTTTAACTCAACAGTTTGTAAGTTAATTGTTGTATAGATGAAAGTGTGAAGTCATTATGTAGACTACTTATGCCCTGCTAAAGTGGAGTGTAGACAAATATAGATCCTGGTTTTTATTTTTGAATTTAAATTTCAGGAATGGATCTCCCCACTTTGTATGAATATTACACTGAAGGAGGAATCACAGCTGGTCTGGAGACCCTCCCTGATACCTTCCAGTTGAACAAGAAGAATATCACAATATTCAGTGGGGCTATTCACTATTTTCGTGTGCATCCAGACTATTGGCGAGATCGGCTGCGCAAACTTCGAGCTGCTGGTTTTAATGCTGTCGAGACGTAAGCTAGAATATCCAAGATGCTACATGCCTCAATTTCTTTGTCTCAGAAGGATGTAAGAAGCCATATTTATTTGATCTCATACTGAAACATGAGTCATGGTGAGCATGATGGGTTGAGAATGTGATGGGGGAAACAAGGAAAGTGTTCAGAATTAAAAAATAAAAGCTCTTATAAAACTTAGAAGGAGAAGGGAGGATAACATTAAGGTGGATCTTAGGGAGGTGGGTTGTGAGGATGGCAGATAGATAGAATGGTGATCCTTGGTGTCAACACTGTTCCAGTTTGGGGTTAACTACAAGAATGTCAGTTCAGTGGGCCATTCTATAGTTATGTAATTATAAAGAAAAGTTTTGGTAATGGGCTAGACCATCACTGTAATTGATTGTATACTATCTTATTCTTGGAATTTATGTATGTTAATTGACTTACATCCTTTCTTCTTTTGTCATCTGGAAAGTAATTGGGATGGTGCAGCTTTATACTTACTGTAATATCTGAAAAGCATAACAAAAGTGTCTCCTTCTGTGAGACAAGAAGGTTATTGTTATTTAGAATTCTGAGTTCTCAATACCAGTCATTGCCATGATTGCCTCATGAGAAAAATTCTTTCTTAACACATTGCGGACTGGTTGTTTTTTTTTTTTTTTTTCTTCAGGGTGAGACAGGAAATGAGCATGATCATGTTACTGGCTAAGCTAGCAAACATTCCCGAGGTCAACTACGCAGTAGTTATGATGCAACATGGCCACACAGTGAGATATAGTTGGTTGCAACATAATGTGTCAGAAAAGGGCCCAATTGGCCCACCTGGTCCGCAACGCTATAGAAACGAAGAGGACTAATTGGCCCCTCCAGTCCTGAATGTGTTCAGTTACTTTATGATAACATGATAGCCATTTAAATTTTAAAATTTCATCATCAGTCCATGTTTCTATGCTGTATGAGTATATTTTGTGCAACAGATAGTGAATATGTCTAAAAACAACAATGATCACATTCCAAGAAAAATGAGTACTGCAACTCTCCACAGCTTGTCCATCATCTTGTATTCTGCAAGAACACATTGTTTTAGATCTGCTTCTGTCATTAGCTGAAAAGCCACATATTTAGTTGGGTTCATTAGAAAGAGGTCCAGTGATTAAAAGTCAGCCTTCCTAACAGACTCAACAGAATTAAGTGCCTTCCTACCTTTTCTCCTGAGGATGGAAACAGATTTATCTCCAAAAATGTACTCTTTCAGAATACTGGATGTTGGTCAGACTCCAGAGATTCAGTAATCCCACACTGTTAAGATTTGATCTAATTTCTAAGAATGTGTGTCTATCAAATTTTCAGTGATGGATTTTGCTACCCTTATTTTGCATCCATATACAGTTCCTCAGGAGCTCTGGTTTTGCCATTTGGCGGTTTGAAGTATATGGTTTTCCATTTTTATCCAGAAATGCGAACAGTAGTATTTTATTTTTTGTATTCATAAATTTTAATTTTTGAAGGAACAAGGAACAAGTTAAGCATTTATGAGTGTTAATTGCAGGTGCAGTTCCTCCTACCTTCCTTGTTCTTGCCAACTGTGTTGCATTTCAGGAATTTAACCCCTGTGGTTGGTGAGGGATTGGTGTTTATACCTTCATGTGTATGTGTTGAAATACAGGTATATACCCTGGAATCTCCATGAACCAGAACGGGATAAATATGACTTTGGGCATGGGAGCAGTGACATGTCTTTATTCCTTGATGTTGTTAAATACATTAAGACTGCCCAAGAAGAAGATCTGCTTGTCTTAGTGAGACCAAGTCCTTACATATGTGCCGAGTGGGACTTTGGAGGCATGCCAAGGCATGTAATTTTTGTATTGCAATTACTTTAACAGTTAAAGTGCTGTTTGTTTATTTTTTAACTAACACCTAAATTTCAGATGAGTTAGAATATTCTTGCTGGTATTCATTTACCTCATTTATTTAGTTCCAGAAGTCATTTGTATGCCTGCAGGAAAATTAATGAAATATTTCAGGCTGAATCATGTGAGTAGTCTTTGGAAAAAAAAAACGTTTTCACTAAATGGTTAATTTTTATTACAGTGTGACATTTTATTTGTAAGAGTTACAGCTAATTGGGGGCACACGGTAGCATCGTTGGTTGAGGCACTACGCTACAAGCCAGAATGTCACGGGATCGAATCCCAATGAGGTGGCTTTTTTTCAATTGACCTAATCCATCCAGCCACACTATTTCCCTGGGGTTGACTCAGCCTCTAACAGAAATGAGTACCAGGAATCTTCCTGGGGGTAAAGGTCGGCCAGCACGTAAGGCTGGCAACCTTACCACGATTTATGAGCCGAATGTCTAGAAAATGTGAGAACCTCAACATCTCACAACCCTGTGGGCCTCAGCGGCCTGTTACAGGGATAGCTTTACTTTACTTTACAGATAATTGTGCCGATAAATATTACGTACTGTCACACACCATAAATATACAACTGTAATTATGGGTGACTTTACGAGTGTATGTGTATTTCTTCTTGGTACTCTACTTCACTTGTTTTGCATCTTCTGAATATATTCTTATTGTGCTCTGGAAAAGAAGTGTTTGGAAAATGAAGTCACTGCCACTTTCAGTAGTGAGAGATCAATGGAGAATGTTATTTACATGCTCAGCAAAGAATACTTACATTCCGAAAATTTTGCTGTAATTTTTATTGCGCTTTCCACAAACACATACTTTTCTCTATTTGGAAAGTGCCATGGTTCTAGTCATCATTTATTATGAGGATGTAATAAAGTGAGTCTTGAATGGATTGTAAAAAAAGAATTATGTTATTTAAATAGAATATTTCTAAGATTAATTCCGGGTATTATACACTTTCCTGAAATAGTAAATGTTGTAGAAACCATTACTGCATTAGAAATTACTTTCAGCTTTATGAAAACTAATTGCAGCCTAATTTGAATACCTGACTGTTCTGTTAGGTCCATGACAATTTATACTTACACTCCTGGTGGTTGACTCCTTGATATTTAGGGCCTAATTTTAGCTACATGTAAAGTAGCCATGGGGCACACGGTAGTGTCGGTAGTTGAGGCACTGTGCTGCAAGAACGAAGGTTGCAGTTTTGATTCCCGATGAGGTCATTGGATTTTTAAATTGACTGATTCTTCTGGCTGCACTATTGGCCTGGGTTTGACTCAGCCTCTAACAGAAGTGAGTACCAAGAATTTTCCTGGGGCTCAAGGATGACCAGTATTTGAGGCTGACAGCCTCACTGCCATCTGTGAGCCAGTTGTCTAGAAAATGTGGGAGCTTGAACATCTCACAACCCTAGGGGTCTCCATGGCCGGTTACAGTGATAGCTTTACCTTTTTTTTATAAAGTAACTATTTTTGAACATTACTGCTGTTAGGAATGTGGTACCGTGTAGTCTGGTAGAGTTCTCTTCTACCCTTAAGATGGAGGCACTACACTGCTTCAAAATATTGAAACAGAGTACCAGACTGCATGGCATCAATGTCCCAGAAGACAATAACCTGCTTAGTCAGCACTGTGAAAATCTCAGTTCCTGAACATCACAATTTTTCTTTGAATTTATGATTCAGAACACACTTTTGTTCTAGCTGGTTGTTGCAATATCCTGGTTTGCGTGTCAGATCCTCAGAGACACAGTATGTTGATAGAGTAAAAAAGTACAACAGCAGATTAATGCCTCTTCTTGAAAGCCTGCAGTTTACAAAAGGTGGCCCAATCATTGCTTTTCAGGTATATATATTATCAAATACCAATCTATATGTACAAAATAGAATCTGTGTATATGTTTACGTGTAAGTCGTGTGTGTATATGTCCATTTGTCTGTCTGTCTATCGGTAACCCTCCTATCTATAGAGTTCCTCTGTTAAGTACGTAATGAATTTTGATAAATATGATGTTTAGATGTAGCTCAGTACATGAACACAAAATCAACTTTGCGTTTGAATGTTTCTTAATAGATCGCAACTCAACCTTGTTTTGAAAAACTATTTTGACAAAAGTGCTATGTTCTTGATGAGTGACTGAAATTGTACTGTTGTATAAAAGTCTCATTCGTAATTTTAACTGCTGTAACGCAAAATGTGGCTTTCTGGAGGATTGGGTGCTTCCAGTCAGAGGTGTACAGTTTGTAAAATTCTGTTGTAAAGTTTATGAAAATATATTGGTAATAAAAGATGCAGGATTTAGTGAGCATAGACCCATTTTCCAAGATGATGATGCTGTTACAATGTAGAACCAGGTGTGGATTATTTGATTGTAATGTCTTCTTTAATCCAGCTTGAAAATGAATACGGGGCATTAACAGAAGATGGTAGTGAAGAGGATGTGGACTACTTGAAGTTTCTAAAGGAAGATTATGAGAAATATGGTATTGTTGAACTGCTGTATACATCAGACAATCCAATTTCCCATGAAGAGAGAGGCAGTCTCCCTGGAGGTAGCTATTCATATAGATTATTTATGTACAGTTGAATAAAGAGTTCCTGTAGTTGAGTGTTGTTCTGTCACAGTGATAATATTTCGGTGGTGTATATTTTGTTTAATAATTTGATTGAATATATGACTGCTGTACATCATATTTACTAGATTAGCCTGAATATAGAGTCATTTTTTTTTAAATACTGCTTCTTAGAAAGGAAGGGTTACCTTATTTTTGGGTCCTTGAGACAAAATGTAATATACTCCTTTTTGCTTACAGCCTTCAGAACTAAGTGACATGTTCAGTGTTGTCAAAGAAACCTTTTTTCTGATTTTTTCATTGGAAAAAGAGAGTTCCTTATGTTTGGGCTTATCCATTAATATGTGAAGGTCATCAGCTGATTTAAACTAATTCACCTGTTTTTAATGTCAGAGGTCTTGCACATTGCATCATATACAGGCATGTATGCTCTGGTATTTACACAAGCAAACAGTTGATGGATATCGACAAACTTTTCAAAAGTTGCACATCTGCTGGTGCATCATATGTTTGACCTCGAGTCTAAAATAACATGAGAGCACAGGCGAACACGTTTTTAAAGAGAAGGAAAAAATCATTGTGCATAAGTTAAATTGTGGTTTCCCCTTTACTATTTCCAGTGACCTGGAATGGAATCCATTCATATTTTAAAATGATGTTGATATTAAGAAATTATTAAAATACTGTGTTATGTCTAATCAGCAGACTTGGTGCAGAAATGAATTTATCCCAAAAAGCATAAGACTTAGAGAGAGAATGGGAGAAAAAAAATTGCTTCAATAAATATTTAATGAGTTTCACTCGAGGTACACACAGGCACAATTGTAGATCTTCATGTAAATTGGTGTTAAAAGCATCTGATCTAAATGAAAATTTTAAAGGCTTAACAATTCTATTTAAAGTTCTCAATTATCATATTTTATGAAAATCTGCTTGGCAGTTTTCAAGTTTTGTGTTTCAGACAGATGGACTGGTGGACTAAGTGAACTTAATAAGCACTCCTCATGGTTGTAAACATGTTTAAAAATGGTGCATGGGTGAGTTGAAGCCAAATAATGTGTGTGCAAATAGTTGGGAATATAATGTACCTTAAAACCCCTGTTAATAAAATAAAATGAACATGCTGTAAGCTATAGATTTCATTAAAATCTATGAATTATTATGTTGCAAATCAAGCACAAAAGACTTATTTGTCAAAGTGTGGAGTTAGAAACCAAACAACCATCGTTTTCAGAATTTTTTGGGTGGTGTATATTTAATGCAATACATGGTAGAATTATATATAACTACACAGAATGAAGTCCTCTCAGGTGACTGGGCATGTCAGAGAAGTTGGTGTCCAGCATTTCAGAGACTGTCTCCATCTCCATCATCAGGGGTTGATGTGATGAGTGTTCTGTTTGCATGCTATATTTATACATAAAACTAACTGTACTGCTTGTACTGATGCCTGAAACCTTTGAGAGTTCTATACTGGGGGAGTTTTGTTGTATATATGGCTGATATATTCTTTTTTTATTTGTTTTATATTTTGAATGCCTTGACTTGTTCCTATGGGAATGGAATGTTTGTTTTTTGATCTGTGACTCATTCTATATCCAATGGTTGTTTTCCAGCCTGTATCTGGATCTATTTTTGAATTTGAAATAAATTTAAAAAAAAAAATTAAACCTGACCCAGCCCATATCCCATGGAGAATGGTGGGCAGAGTCACATAGTGACATTCTGTTCCAATGCAGACCACATGGGGAACTTTAGACTGATCGTCAGAATCAGTGTTGCTAGTTGTTTACCATTCCTCGTGATTTGTAAAGTTTTTTCGTCTCTTTTATTATGTTCATGGCCAGGTACTTTGAATAGCTTAGAGGGAATCCAGTATACCAAAATTATTGTGATGTAGCCATATCTCAGTTGGCTTGTCACAAAGTGGTCCCATGATGCTCTGTTCATTCATGTCAGTTATACAATTTATGAATATATGCAGTGTAATATCTCTATTTTTGTTTGTATACATTAGCAATAAATGTGTTGAATAACAAGAGTAACAAATGATGCAATATCTAAAAGACTGCATTTGGAAAATTTTATATACCAAATGGAAGTACACATTTGGGTTTATTCTTTTTTTAAGTGTTACAGACAGCTAATTTCCAGATTAATCCTGAAGATGAGTTGTCATTACTAAAGAAATTTCAACCAGACAAACCAGGGATGGTGATGGAATATTGGTCAGGATGGTTTGACCATTGGTTTGAAAAGCAGCACCATACAACATCTGTTGAAGGTAGCATTACACTACATTTAGTTCAGAATTCTTTATATTCCCATCTCTACCCAAAATGGCAAAGGTTATGATATAAAACTGTAATATTACATGTTGTTTTGTATGGGCATAATACATTGTTTGCTGATATTGAAAGAAAGGTTGAGTGTGCTTGAGCTAAGGGCACTGAAGAGAATATTTGAATGAGAACTGAAGACACGCATAATGAGAAGCTTCATAATGTGTAATCTTCACAGTATACTATTAATGTGATAAATCAAGGAGGATGAGATTGGCAGGGCATGTTGCATATGTGGGAAGGATGATAAATTCATTCAGAATTTTAGTTGCAGACCCTGAAGTCAAGAGACTGGATGAAGACCTATATATAGGTGGGAGAGTAATATTAAAATGGATATAAGTTATGAGGTTGTTGGCTGGATTCATATGGCTTAGGACTGGGACAAGTGACAGGTTCTTGTGAACAAGGTAATGAACATTTGGGTTTAATAAAAGGTGGGAAGTTTCTTGAACTAATTAGCTTTTCAGAAGGTTTGTGTTGCAGGAAGTTAGCTGTGCAATACATACTTTGTGCAACATGTAAAGTACAAGCGAATATTTATAAGATTGGTTTGCATCTTTACCAGTTTTTCTTCTTATCACATTACTTCTAGGTTACTGCTGTCAGTTTTTGAGTCTCCTGTTCTGTTAAAATATTGGGAGGCATACTAAAAGAAGTGATTTTAGGATTGTGATATGGGACTGTCTGGTGTTTTTAGAAAAGCTGAAACGCACATGCACGCGTACAAACACATACATGAATTATATTGTGTTCATCTTATTTTTGCCTGCAATACTTCAGTTGTGTTGCTCTAAATTTAGAAGCATTGAAAGAGAGAGGAAATATATGTCCATATCCCTTTAATTTTCAGCTTTCAGTGATGTTTTGGAGCGAATTCTTAAGTTCCCAGCATCAGTCAACTTGTACATGTTTCATGGAGGAACTAACTTTGGATTCCACAATGGCGCAAACATACAGGATGAATTTCCTCACTATTTAGCTGATGTCACCAGCTATGGTAAGTGCCAAACAGTTTATGTTTGTTGTTGAATAAAGTAGAGAGAAAGTGCAGTTACCAGATAAGTAGCCAATATGAACCTGTTATGTTTTTTTTTGTCTATGTGTGTGTGTTCTTGTGATTGCTTCCATGTACACAATAACTTGGTAATGTACAGATAAATTATAACTACTTGAATTCAAGATTATATATTTTCTTGTCTCATTATCTGAAATCTAACACATTTGCTTCTGAACATGTAAAGGATATTGGTATGGTTGGTATGGTATAGTACTTTGGTATGTTTTATTTGTTAATCTGTTTTCCTTATTTTGAAGAAATAAGGGCAGGCTTATGAGATCACCTTGTTGTCTGTGTGTCTATATATGTATCCCCCCCCTGACAACTTCCGAATGCCTGAACCAATCTTTATGAAACTTGGTGTGTATATCATGGCACCAGAGCTCATCTCAACAGTGTACTTCATGAATCTGTCATATCAGTAATGCCACCATTACAGCCTCTTGAATTGCTGAGAAGCCTTAAAGAGGGAGCAGTGTGACATGAAGCCTGAAAACCATTTACTAGGCAACTGCTCAATAAACATGTTGCCATGGCAACGAATACACACGCAACAATAGTTGAACTGTTGGACATGGTGTTTTCTGTGTGATCCATGCTGAGGCGAACCCTCGATTTGTAGTGAAAGGAAAGTAGGGGATTAGTTCTCCCCAGAACTTCTTGAGTTATAATGTCGACTGCTGGAATGAGAAGTTCAAACAGTTTCCCTTGCAGCCCATATTCATGACAATACCAGTGTTCTTTCATCACATTGTATATTACACAAAATATAGAAAAACTTTGGGGAACTTAATTTTAAATATATCTCAATAAAACATAGTTCAAAGATGAGTATGAGTGTGTGTATTATTTGCATGTAAATTAATCCCCATTATTCTTGCTAAATAATGCATATTCATGATTTTAATATTCACTGTTTTTCATCCAGATTATGATGCTCCACTAACAGAGACTGGAGATTACACTAACAAATATTATGCTTGCAAACATATTGTAGCAAAATATAACAAGGTCCTCACGAAGGTTCCTTCTTCACCTGTTGTGAGCAAGAAGATGGCTTATAAGCCTATATCAGTCACAGGCCAGCTTAACTTCAATCAGATCATTGACAGAATTGTAAGTTGTTGAACTTATTTTAGTTTATATTCTGAACTGTAGTCCAATTAATAAAGAAACAAGGAATATTCTCACATTACATTGTAAGTTGGCCAAAATTGAATTTTGCTGACATATTTGAGCATGGTGGTATTAAATTTGTTTTGTACAATTTGTAAAATGGATCAGCAGCCATAGTGAGATTGCTTGGATTGAAGCTGGCCACATCTTAATGAGATTAGTGCAGCATGTTCTACAAGTGACCAGTAATTGAAATTTAAGGATGTCACATTATATGTAGTGTACACTTGCAAAAATAAGTTTAAAAAAATGAATGCCAGGTAACGTAATCTGGATTGCTCAATATATATAAATTTTATGTAGCCTTGTACAACTGATTTTTCATTACTAAAACAGGTCCAGCCACATATGACATCTGGTGACAATCAGAGAAACAGTCATTTTAAGGTCCAGACATGAGTAGATGTAGAAATCAAAGAAACACACCTGTATATGCCATGTGAAGAAAAATGCAAGAGATTAGGTGGACGAACTAGTGTGCATGCAGATAATAGGCATGTTAGGTTTTGAAGATTATTGTGTTGTGCTGTGCGATGCCAGAACAGTGTGGTAGATATTTATTGACATTTGTGAGGGACATGCAAGCTTCATTTTCAGTGTTATAGGAGAGTAACTTCTCTGCCATGCAGATGGAAGCAGCCTGTTCTTCTCATATGTTGGTAAATACTTAACAGACCACAGCATCACCCAGAAACTATCCTCTTAGTCACCAGAATGAGAAACTCAGATCTATCACGTGTTATTTTTTTAGAATACCTCAGTAATTGAGATAGGAGTCAGCGTAACACAGTGGGTATAGTGACTAGGCTATGGACTCAACAACCAAGAGATCATGGTTCAGTACTGTAGGGGGCAAGAAATGTTTTCCTTTACAGTATCCAGACTATCTCTGGGGTCCACTCATTCTGTCTAATGATTACTGGAATTTATTTCCCCAAGGTAATGTGGCTAGTGTGTGAAGCTGACCACTAACCTCCATCTAGTGCTTAATTAAGCACAAGGATGACTCTGCCGTTACCTTCAGTAAATGAGAGATAAATGTATGTTGGTAATAGGCACCAGAGGATCGCACAAAGTCTGACAGTGTGGTACACATGGAGAAATTACCTGTCAACAATGGAAATGGACAGAGCTATGGCTTTGTATTGTATCGGCATGCTGAAGTTGCAGTTCGCGTGAATTCTACACTTCAAATAAAGAATGGCGCTTTCTATGACATGGGTATTGTACTGCTGGATGGGGAACGTAAGACGGAGAAATTGACATCAACTTCTCAACTGCTTCAGTTTGGTTACTGGGAAACTAAGTAAGCAGAACAAAATAAAGAGCTTCCATATGGAAGCAACTTCAACTTATAGCCCTTTAGTAATGGTTATGGTATTGACTGTTCATATTTGACAGTAACATTTGGAAAAGTTTGTAACACATTTATTGAATATCATGAATGAGTGGGTAGCACTCATGCTTTGTATTCAGGAGGTCTTGGGTTCAAATCTCAGACTAGAGACCAGGCATAGTGAGGTCTTTAATGGTTTTCCCAGATCCCTCCAGGCAATTGCAGGAATTCTATCACCACATTCTTTCCAGTTCATTATTTCCTAATCCTGTCAGTTGATGCTAAACTATTTCAGTTATAAATCTTCATTAAATAAATGAAAATGAAATAATAAATACAGATGCTTATTTTGAGAAAATAAAATTGGTTCAGTGTGTTGTAGCACCATTTCAGTCTGTTATGAAGGCCTAAACAGTAGTGGTAACTGTTATATAGGTGTCTGTAGTTTAGTTTACAGGTGAATATAGGCCAGTGTCTTGATACAGGGGTACAAGATGTTCTAACACGCCTGTGCAGCATCTTAACTATGTGCTGACGTAGGATATGGATATAATGCATGAGTTTACTCTATGCTTCATCTTCTAGAATCTATCCAGATATAATTTTAAAATGGTACTTAATTTTATGTGTGCTGTTGAAAGTCATTTCTAGGACCTGCAAATTTATTAATATAAAATAGTATGTGTATTGTTTTTATACCTCACCCTTGTCGTACAAGATTATATGATGTCATTAAACTCTGTCACTTTTTTCCTTACAGAAATGCAAAATTATCTCTAATTTCTGCCAGTTATGGAACAAGAACTCTAGATATTTTGGTTGAAAACTGGGGCAGAGTCAACTTTGGGGTCCATGCCACCTTTGACCAACGTAAAGGTTTGCTAGAGAATACCAAAATTTTATTGGATGATGAGGAAGTTACAGGATGGGAAATAGTTTCTCTACAGTTTAAATCCAAATGGGTAAACAGGTAAGTTCCTCCAAGTTTGCCATGTCTGAGTCACACATGTCATCTAACAGTTTATCATGTTTATGCTGTGTGAATGGCTGAGTTGTTGCAACATGTTTAAGCTGGAGACAAGTTATTGACAGTGGAGTACCAAACGAAGCAAACCTTGCACTGCTGTCATCTCTTATTCATAATCGCTATTGAAACATATAATGACAGATAACAAGAGAAAAGCAAGAATTGTTCTTTTATGTGTAAGGAATATATTTTATATATGTTGTGGTGCAGATATGAAGACACTTTTTCACAGACTGGATTATAAAGTAATCATGAGGGGATTTTTCTCTTTGTACTCAATTTCAGTTTGGATGCTTGGGGACCTGTCTCCAGTCATATGACTGCACCAACATTGTTTCTTGCTACTTTACAAGTGGACACACCATATGACACATTCCTTGACATGAGAGGTTGGGGTCGTGGAGCAGTCTTCATCAATGGGTTCAACCTAGGTCGCTACTTTAGTGCAGGACCAACTCACTCACTCTACATTCCTGCTCCATTACTGAAAACTGGAACAAACCATGTAAGCTCACTTCATGCTTTATCCCGATTTCATTATTGTATAAGAGAAAAGAAACTTATGATTATGAAGATTTCTGTCTTCTATGATGTAATGCCATGTAGTACATTCAGAGTCAACAGATGTTTCAGCGGAACATGTCACCTTCTTCAACCCTCAAGATGGAGGTGATGTGTTCCTCCAAAATGATTCACGTTCAGCGGACTACATTGCATAATATCCCACAAGGTGGAACTATTCATAACCACTGCTGTGAGAACCTCAAATCCTACAAATTTAATGTTAGTTTATGGACATTCTGAAAATTAAAATATGAATAATCATGGACTAAACGGACAAAAACAGGCGGGTATTCTTTCCCCCTGTACTTCTGACGAGCCACTCTTCATCTGTGATAGTGATAATTTTCTTTACACAGACATGGATATTAATGTATGAAAATATTCCCTTTTTGTTTCAGATTGTTGTTTTTGAGCTGTTTACTGCACAGGCTCAACTTGTTTTCACAGATAAACCAATATTGGGGCCTGAGTGATACATACCAGCTTTAAATAAAAATTTGGATGTGTACCAAGATATGCATACGTATTGTAACATCCAGAAAAAGTTTGTACATTTCTTTAAACTGTCTAATAATAACATACCCTTTCAGTTAAAAGGACTTCTATGTAACCCGACATATAGTGAAAACAAGAAATTCTTACAGAATTTTGGTTCAGAGATCTCAGAGGAGAGACCAATTTTTAAATTTTTCAGAAGTGGAAGGACTGTAATCAAATGTGTTAAGGGAGAAAACCTGCCACACTGGGGAAGGCTGTTATGTTTATTGGACAATGCTATAGTAGCACAAGGAGTAAATGCATTATTATTAAGGAAACAGAAGATGTTGCTACCATCTTCTAGAGGAAACCCAACTACATACTCAGCAAAGCAATCAATCAAAGGCAGAGATAGTCAACTACTGTTACCAGTGGCAGATTTTAAAGCCCAGCAGGGGAAAAAAAAATGCGAAGAAGCACTTCAAAGTTTCTGTTAAAACACCAAAAGGGAGAGAGGAGAAAGGTGCTTTGAAAGGTACTACAGGACTGGCTTGTCTCGGTGGTTCCACAAGAAAAAATGAATCATCATGCCTTCGTGTCAATAAACCATATAAGAGCAGGCCACTCCAGACTTAAAGCAAGCCTAAACAGATTTAACATTGTGTCCACGGTTGAATGCGAATGTGATGATGGGATGCAAACAGAGGAACATATCTTCTGGAACTGTAAACTGTATGAGGACCAAAGGTCAACAGTGATGGACATTTTGTCTGAGAACAGTAAAAAAGAACACCTAAAGTCAGTTACAGAGCTCTTAAGGCCAGAAGAAAAAGATGTTTGCAAGGTGGCTGTTACATCATAAATAACATTTCTAATTTATTAAAAAGAAAAAGAAGTATATGTACAAAATATTTTTAGAGTTAAGAGGTATGTTTAAAAATCACAGGGTGGCCGCTGTGGTAGAATAAGATGTTTATATGAATGTGCTACAGAGGGCCAGATGGGCATTGCCTAGGTCTTTTTTGTTTATACATTTATTTTTTCAAAATAATAAAAAATAAAAAACTACATTGCTGCTAGATGCAGGAAGACGTAATACAAAGTTTGACTTACTATATGTAGTATTTACTTCAGTATATTCTTAATGTTGGACAAACCAAATTATAAGGAACCAAGTTTACATGAGCAGTAAAGCTTCTGACATATTCAGGAGGATCTTGGTTCAAATATCAGCTGGGACACCCAGTATACTGACAGGTCTTTCATGCTATTCCTCAGTGCCTCCAGGTCAGTGCTGGGAGAGTACCCCAAATTAGGCATGTTGAGTTCCTTCCACATCATTTCCAGTTAATTATTTACTAATTATCCTACTGACAGCATTAAATAAATAAAACACTGTACTGTGCAGAGGACAGCCTCAACATGTGTAACATTCAAGGGCTAGGGTGTGGGGTTCTGGACTGGTACAAGGTTCTTGCTGCTGTCAGAAACAATGGCCAAAAACAATGATCAGTTTGTTTCATAAAACTAGTGAGTCTTATTTCAGTTTGTAGTCCTGTATCCAACCTTGGGACGGACGACTTCACTTACCTATTCTGTGATGTATTTTAGCATCCTGTTGCATTGATTCGCGTCTATGATGTGTATGTATTGACCATCTTCTAGTGCACACAGTCTCACTTGTCACTTCACTACATGTTTCGGCATCACTGTGCCATCCTCAGGTTTGATATTTACGTTAAACTATTGCACTGCTCGCCATCATGTGTCGTTTATAAAATGATTTAAAATGTATATTCGTCATGTACTATAATAAAATTTGTTAAGATTTATCATCTTATACGTCATATATCAAACTCACGTATTATATCATTCTTCCGCTATGGGAGTCGTTCTTCCTATATTTTGTGTATACTGTGTCTTGTGATGTGTCCTTCTTTTGTGGCTGTGTGTGTTGATCAGCTCTAGTTTTATTTTGTCAAATATGAAGTTGATCATAAGTGACATAAAATATAGTTCTACATCAGTGCTTCACTGTTGGGAATCTCGTTATTCCTGCAGTTCCATAAACATAATATAATTGGGACAGTGTCGGATTGAGGGGACAAGTGAATGAATTGGCTATCAGGTTGGCATATTTTATAAATAATATTCAATTTTATTAAACGAAAATTGATTTCTGCAGTCATTTTGTTAGCCTGTTTTCCTAAAGTAGGCTTATGTGATTTTCATCCTGTTTGTTATCCCCCCTATCAACTTTTGAATGCCTGAGCTATTTTTATGAAACTTGGTATGTATGTCATGGCAACTGAGCTCTTCCAAACAGTCTGTGTACTCCTCTTGTTGCCAGGCAAAGGATCAGTAAACATGTTCCCACAGCAATAAATACACTCAACAATAGAAGAATTGTTGGACGCGCCATTATGTGAGAAGTGTGTGCGTTGTCTGTGTATCCATATTTTTGCTAAGTAAAATCTTAGTAAAGACATCCCTAAGTCACAACAAAGAATTGTTGGATGTTTTTCTATGTGATTTGTGCCATATCAAAGGAAAGTAGGTAATTATTTCATCCCAGAAGTTTTTGTTAAAAGTGTATCCCTGTAACAGGCCGCAAAGGCTCATACGGTTGTGAGACGTTGAGGGTCCCACATTATTTAGACAATCGGCTCAAAGATGGCGGTAAGGTTATCAGCCTTACGCACCAGCTGTGCTTTACTCCCCAGGAAAATTATTTCATTCCTGGTACTCGTTTCTGTTAGAGGCTGAGTTGACCCCAGGGCCATAGTGCGGCTGCAAGGATTAGGTCAATTGATAAAAATCCAGTGACCTCATCAGGACTTGAACCCGCAACTTTCCAGCTTGTAGCATAGTGCCTCAACCAACTACGCTACCAATCTTCTCATAACCAAGGCAGGATAAAACCTATTTTGAATAGGCTAAACTCAGCCGTTGATTACTTTCCATACAATACGTACAATTCTCCGTATGATGAAGCCCCAACTATTCCGTAAATTAATTCACAACATTATTGGACCTCCTACACAATTTTATAAGAAACTCGAATTTACTATTCGTTGACAGAAATGTATGAAACGCAAAACCAACGACCGATTCGATGTTACTAAACATCGATCAAATTTTAATTTTATGTATGACTTGTTATTGTTTTAAATAACCTACTTATTGTATTCTTGTGCAAATTAACTTAAATGATTTATAACATTGTATCAAATTTTACGTACTGCAGTTCAATGGTGTATGGTTGTTGAAGTGTGTTGCCTGATGATGGCCACTCGTGGCTGAAACATGTAGCAGAACTATACTGAGCATTGTCCTTGAAGTTCTATATTTGCTTTGTTGTGACGGTCAAATAAAGAGGTTGTATAAACTCAGCCTGCCTCATAGTTCATCATGTCTTCAGGCTGGAGTGTCTGTCCCTTAAAGAACATTCTAGCTGGTTTACGAAATTCATCATCCATTCTTGTGCCATTTCAGCCATCTTTTCCTGCTTGCCACCAAGGTTTGCCCATTTTTCCTGTTTGCACAGGTCCCAAAATACATCTTGCTGTGAAGTGTAATACATTTCTCAGATCAAGTTTTAGGGGTGCAGGGTGTAGGATGCGCTTCTAAAAATCCTTCACCGTGATATTACAAACGAGACTGCAGACAGTGTCATAGTGGTTTAACTGTTATGTTTAGTGTGGAGGAAATATTGCTAATTCAAGATGGCCAAGACATAGAAGTTAACCACTTTACTTGGTTTGCAAAGAATACAACTGCAGAAATTTGAGAGACCTTCATATAAGTTAGATTGTAATATGTTCAAATTTTATGAGTGCTCGAACACCTACAGAGCATTCTTTACAAACACTCCCTGTATCCATGCCGTATGCTAGTTCTCAAATGCTAAACAGATTGTAATGTGCTGAGAATATGGCATGCTTGAGAGGACAGGAAAAGTATGGGACCCCTAGGCTGGTATTTTTATAACTTTTATTGGATTTCATTAAAAAAAATTGCTATCATGTCTTTAACATCCTTGCTCTTTACTTGTGCCATCATCACCAATCATACTATGTAATCTAAGCCACTGACAGTATCATAAAATAAGCCAAAAACAGATGAAGAAGAAAAATTCATGTCATATGTTATTGTTATCCCACCAGCTTGGTCTTCCATCCATTTGGTGCCAAAATGAATACATAATGTTGTATTTATGATCACCGTTTAATCATCCCATACCAAATTCTGAATACGACTCCTTTCCGAAAATATACAGAAAGATGACACCTTTCCCTAAGTGTTGGTTTTGGAGAGAGGTTTTGTGTAAAACATCTGGCACTGTGAGACTGAATTACATATTGAGCAATTCCATTGCTGTAAAACTAAATATTTTTCTCTCTCCCTTTGTTCCCACCATACTCCAGGAAACAATCATAGTGCTCATTGGCTAGGAAAATGGGTCTCTTTACACAAATGGAAATAGATGACTCATAATAATTAAACTAGATCGTTATTACTGTGTTGTTTGGCATTTCAGGCTATGTGAATAGTGTTTTGGAAAGGGATTGGAAGAAAGTAGTGGTGGCCTAATCAAAGTACTGCCCTGATATTTCCCAGATGATGTTTACAGACATCAGGAGAAACCTCAGTCAGGACATCCAGTGTCACCACTCATTTCCATCTAGTTCCAAGCAATACCTCTACACCTGACTCCTCCTTGGCATGGTGATTAATTAAGCAGAGATTTCACCGTTTATACCTCTACCTGAGACATGTACAATAAATAATTGCAATGGGTATTTTAATAATTTATAATTTTCGCGAATTATTTAAGATAACATATTCCAGAAGGATGAATCAGCTGACTCATGTAATAACCATGATGAAGTAAGAAATACGTACAAAATTATAATCGAGAATTTCATGTGAACGGAATATCGAAGGAACATGGACATAGAAGGGAGGATAATAAAATATGTGAAGATTACTGTATTCTGGGATGTTACTCCGTGAAGTGTGGTAGATCGTTAGCAATTATTCCGAGGAATGTGCTGTCTCTATCTCAATTGTCTTACATCGTGGAAGGGCGAACCAAAAAATTAATCATATCCTTGGTCATTAGAACTATTATGTACATTCAACAGTCGATTTATTTCGATATATTGATAGTGCACAGCAGTCGAATTACATGATCGTTTCTATTCGATTGTTGCCCTCACGCAATCAGACCGATCAGACCCGCCACTAAACCATTCCAGTCAGTTTAAGAGCGGTTTAAGAATGTTTTGCGTAGAGTATGTTCGGATTAATTTGTGCAGTGTACATATGCTTTGCATGTGATATACTACGGAAAAAATATATTCGCCACAGCAACGTACAGTTTGTCCAGTAACAGTCAGTTGTATTAATTCGTTATGATTTCTGACTTAATATGGGCTAAAGTAATTTGTTGTAGAAACTGCCAAAATTCTTACATACAAATCAGTAATTGAAGTCCATCAAAGCATACGAGTATATTGGACCTTGCCATCTAACGAACATGTGTACCTTGAGGAAATATAATGAACGTATTCTTGGTTATTTAGTGTATAAA